ATGATATGCCAACATTAACCCATATATTTGGGTCCTCTTGTCTAGATTAATGTAATGCATTCTATTTGAGCCTAAAAAATCTGCATGGCCTACAGACAGTACAAAATGCGGCAGCCAGACTACTGGGCGGCAGGATTCCTTTTGATATTGCTATTTTATTATTGATTTTATTTTTTTTATTGTATGCTTCTTATTCTGATTGTGTACCAGCTCCCTCCTGGATATTGAAGATACCTTACGATTTTGATAGGTTTTTTAACCACTGATTTCGAGTGAGTACAATCTAATAAAGTTTTTTTTTTTGAAAATATGTTTATTTAGTAAGTTGGAGAGTCAGCAGTTAGATCAATATAAAGACTCGCAGGTCTAGGTACGCATACATTGTAAGTGTAACAGAGGTAGGAAAAATTGGTGATCCATTAGATAAGGAGAAAAGAAATAAAACATAAATAAAATAAATTATTAAATAGATCCACCCCCTACCAAGCTTGCATGCCTATGAGTCAGCTTGTTTTACGAGATGAGTGGACACGCAGGTCCGTAATAACTATCCAAGGTGTATATCTAGGCACTCTTACCCCATAGTGAGGGACATGCATATCCATTTCTTGTATGACAGTACAGTTTCATGTGTAACAATTACAGGTGGGAGCTTTGTGTCATTTATAACAGGTATTCACTACTCGGAGCACCAGTATTCCCTTGATTGTTACCTATGGCTGAGCTCGTGTAGCGTTCGAGAGTCCCTTCACCCAATTGTGGTAGCCAGATGCTCGTGTCTGGCCCCAGTGTGGTACTTATCGTGGTGTTATTTAGCCTGAGTGTTACCCTAGTGTATGAGGAGGATATGGTTGGCGGCTATCTAGTGTTATTTATTCACAAGTGTGTCATAATCCTGGCTACTCGTCAGGTATCTGAGCCACATTGTGACCCGTGTCTCCCAGGCCTATTCAAATCTCTGTGCATTTATTAGTATCCCTCTATTAGTGTACGTTGTGCCTCCCTGGAATCCTTGTGAAATGTTGTATTGGCTATCCATCCCACAGTCAGTCTACTCGGCCCCGACCCCCCCTCCACTCGGTTCCGGTGCTCAAGGATAAGGGGTAAGGAAGAGGTGAGGAGCAGTGGCGGTCGGGCCTCTTAGGGTGTGGTCCCTCTGGCACTGTCTGACCCAGCCTGCGCCCCCGGCGCGGGCCCCTGTGCGGCTCCGTCTCCTCGATAGCGAGATATGTATAGGAACCATGGCGTCCACATCTCCGTGTGCTTGGTCCCTCTTCCCGTTACAATAGCATGTGCTTCTTCTGCTCCTTGGATCTCTTCCACTCTACGGATCCACTCTTTTTTGGTCGGGATTTCACTTCTTTTCCAATGGACTGGAATAGTGGCCTTGGCAGCATTAAGCAGGTGTCGTAGTATCGATTTCTTATATGATCTTATGGGTTGTGTCGAGATGTGTAGCAATGCCAATTCCGCATTCCATTCCGGTAAGTCTCCCAGGATGATCGTCACTTCTTCTCTAATCATTTGCCAGAATGGGATGATAACCCTGCATTCCCACCATATGTGCAGTACTGTGCCGCGTGTTTCCTGGCATCTCCAACACATCGGAGGGATTGAAGGGAATATGCGGTGCAGAAGAACTGGTGTTCTATACCAGAAAGATATCAACTTATAATTCATCTCCTGGTAGTATGAGCTCATAGAGCTCTTATGCTGCCAAAGCAACGCCGTATCCCATTGCTGTGTTGTAAATGTTATTCCTAGTTGTTCTTCCCACTGCCTTTTGAACGTAGTAGCCGTAGGGGTGCCTCCGATTAGAAGATGTTGGTATAACGCTGAGATGGCATGTTCTATGTTGGTGCCTCGGTCGCAGAGGCCCTCAAACCACGTGAGGTCTCTATGCAAGCGATCTTTGTGCGGGAAGGAATCGTAAAAGTGTTTCAGTTGTAGATATCTAAATTGGAGGATAGGCGTCCGTGGTCTATCGCCTAGCATCGAGGGGAGGTCTCGCATCCTCCCGCCTTCGAGTGCCTTATGTATGGGTATGTATGCCCCAGTATCCTGGAAGGGAAATGCTGCAGGAGGGAGTCCCCCCCCAACAGCTGTGTTATACGTGATCGGTGTCATTGGGCTGGGCATAGGGGACACGTGGTCTTGAGTCCTCAGTGTTTTCCATCCACATATTGTCTGTAGGATCAATCCCTCCTCCACCGAGCGGGAGGGCGATCTTTCAAGATCCCCCCAGATTTTCGTCTCCAACGTTGGTCCAATGAGGCCCCTGTCGAGTACCACCCATTGTTTAATCAATCTAATAAAGTTAACCTTTTTATATATACAGTTGAACACTATGTCTGGCTTTTCTCTTTTTCCTTAAAGTATAAGAGTGGGAAAAGAGTAGAAAAGAAGCCTTCAATGAGATTTACATACTCCACCTATTTTACTCATATGTTTCTGAGTGTATGTAAGTTTTCACTTTTTATGGTGATTTATTTTATCTACACCATTGTGGTCCCTCTCTGTTTTTATATATTTTAGGTTGTGTATTACATATTTGTAGACTACTGGCCAACCAATCCCAATCATGTCACATAACACCTGGTCTCCTCTCTCTGCATTGGCTTCTAAATAAATGGTGAACATATTTTAAAATTGGCCTGCTGACCTTCAAATCCTTAAAGGATCACTATAGTGTCAGGAAAACAAACTCGTTTTCCTGACACTATATAATCCCTAGGGTCCCCCCACCCTGAGGGCCCCCCTCCCGCTGGGCTGAAAGCGTTAAAACCCCTTTAGCCACTTATCTTTATCCAGCATCAGGCTCCCTTTCCTCCCACTCAGACGTCAGCTCCCAAGTGGAGCTGAAAGCGCATGCGTGGCCAATGCTTTCCTATGAACGTTCTGCGTGCTCAATGCGATTTTTGCATTGAGCTTCGCAGAAGCGCCTCTAGCGGCTGTCAGGAAGACAGCCTCTAGAGGCTAGGTTAACCCTGCTATGTAAACAAAGCAGTTTCTCTGAAATTGCTATGTTTACAGCTGCAGGGTTAAAACCTGAGGGACCTAGCAACCAGACCACTTAATTGAGCTGAAAAACCTAAAGACGCACATCTTAAATTAGACATTCAGTCCGGTCATCTGACTATCAGGAACACTTAACTTTCATGTCTATTTTATATATTTGTATATTTCTTTGAGCCTCACAGGGAAAAAAGCTAATTATTATATTATATTACTTACAATGGTGACATGGAGTAAATATAGTGCACATCTACTAGACTAGCCTACTACTAAATATATTACCTCAAACGTTTACCTCAAACTGACCTGTAGTAAAAGACATTTGCACCTGTGGGTGTAGGAATCCCAAAAAGTCTGGGGGCAGTAATTTACTTAGAAAATCGGAGAAAAGCCCTAGAGTCTGACTGCTCAATTCTCTGCCATTTAGGAGTTAAAACACTTTTGCTCCTTTCCATGCAACCCTAGCCACACCTTCCCTGGTGGTTACTGACAAAGCCTGCATGATTTTTTTTTCATTTTTAATCAGATGTTAACTTGCTTTATATGTTTTTATCTCCTGCTCTGTAAATTGAGCTTTAATCACACACAGCAGGCTCCTGCCTGGTTTAACAGGTTATTAACAGAGCAGAGTTAAGAAATTCTAAATTAAACAGACTGTGCAATGTAGGATGTTTAAACCTTAGATCTTACTTTACAGGAAGTGTTTAGGAAGGCTGTGTAAGTCTGAATCTGACTAAGCAGTAAGACAGCAGGGGAATGATTCAGACACCAAAACAGTTTAATTAAGCTAAAGCTGTGTTGATGACTATAGTGTCCCCTTAAACAGGTGGCTTACATCCAATGACCCAGATTTGCACAGGTAATTAAATACACTATATATCATTTGTATTCCAAATGCACAATACACTATTTTGTTTGGCTTTCATCAGTAAACAGTGACTTGTTATACATCTATAACCACATTTTAAAATTTAAGATAAAACAGATACATTTGAACACGCCTTTTGCTATGTTGCCCTAAAGTGTTCAATTCTCTTGTCAATGTTCAAAAATTTCCATTTTAATGAATAAACTCCTGTATTTGTGTGTATGTGTATAGTGTAAAGGATTATGTCAGAATATTCCTTTGTATTTAAGTGTGTCTTGCTAAATGCATTTGTGTATGTTCGTGCGTCAGTGTGCATGCATTCTATATGCTGTCACTGAATCTGAATGCAAGGAGACATTCGATAGTATAGCAAGTGTGTGTGAACACATGGTAAGGGCTGTAGGTGTCTGACAGTGTTTTTAAACGCAGCTGCCAGTTTGTGTGTAGTGTCTGTGCGTGTTAATGCAAACATATGTGTCTAGAGCCAGAATGTGTAAATGTAGAGATATATTTGAATTAAGTGACTGTGTAAGTAGTGTTTTACTATCAAGTAGTACAATTTTGACTCTCCCATAGAATATTGGTATTAACGTTGAAGTGTGCTTTTAAGTTTTATGGACACTCACATATTGCTGCACAAGTGTGAATAATTGTGTGTGGTGTGTTGTAACGGTTGTGGAATTGTTATACAAAAGATGTGTATACATGACTGGGGGAATATGCGCACTGTGGTCCTCCTATCAAATTAGTCTGGGAGAATCTGACTTCCTGATGCTGAAATAAGGCTTTAAGCAACTGTAGTACTTTAATAAAAAAAAACTTAATTCTAAAGTGCATGAGATGTACAAGGGAGGAAGAGTACCTAAGTATTTCGTATACCATGGGGGACTCTTATTAAGGCAAAAACAGGTGATGTTCTGGGAAGAGGTGCTAAATTAGAAAACCAATGGAAACCAACAGATTCTCTCAATATTTATCACTTTGCACACAAAATAGCATCTGACATTTCCTGATATTCTCTGCCCCCTCCCAATGTAATTTGCATCTTATTTCCTGAACTTGAATTCAGTTTCCGACAAATCCATCACTTATTTTACGTTAATAAAAACAACTCAAGAAGTATCAAAAAGCCATTTTATTAGAAATAAAATTCAAACATCCAATTATAATAATAATCAGGTGCAGAGCATCACAATTAAATTTACAAACGGCAAAATAAAATAGAAAAACAAAAAGTCCCTTTCAAATAGGAGTAAACGTTCCCACAGACATTCTGCGGATGACAAGCAAAACTTCTTAAAAAGATGTGTGCATAACAAGCAAATATTGGAAATTGCAATTTGTAACAGAAGCATATATTTACAAAAAAATGGTTGAAGCAGTTGTTGGAATATAAAATCTATATTTTGTTTTTAATGGAATGTCGCGAGTACCTAAAAAATACAAATATGGTAAAAACATGTTTTATGACTGATATGTTTCAAAATACAATGTTCAGAAAAATTAAAATAGCCCTTGTAAACATGAAATATATACTATATTTCAAACTTCTACCGAGACAAAATGAGAGATCGTACTGTCCAGTAAAGTAAAACAATGGTTAAAAAAGACTTTGGTCTTGTAATTTACCGGCGAATAAATATTGGTACATAAACATCACTGCTGGAGGGTGACATTGGCATAGTGCTGAAGATTTGGTATATAACTGTTTCCTGAGAACTGGTTAAAAAAACAAAATAAGTACTTTATAGCTCGGCAGCAAAGATTTACGGTTAGTAGATTTTTTTTCGAGGGTGTGGAGGTGATGAGAAGGTATGGAGAGAACATTAATTAACATTATTAATTTATGCAAAAGTACGAGTTTTCTAGGCCGGATAAAATGGCTGACAGGCTGCATATTCCATATTTGTAATGTTGATAGCACTTTCAGTCTTTTCTCTGTATTAATATTTGGTATAGAGTTTTGTGGATGTTCCCGCTATTAAGATAGAATGGGGCGAGGATTGACGGGTCTCCCTAAATAGATGACCATATGGAATTTGTAGCATAAAAAAAAGAAAAACATAACGACATAAATGCATATTTTATAAAATAACTTTTTTCTCATAGTAGAGCTAGATACCCACAATGGCTAAGAGCAGCTGGCATTTCTGATAATGGCCAAGCCATTCAGCAATTGTATGTTTATTGACTCTTATAGGCTGATTAGTAAAGAATTGATTATTTAACCCTCTGGGTGTAGTGGATTGTGCAGCTGACATATCTGGCATTGTGACATATCTTGAAAGCAGTGGCAGTAATAACATTTCAGGATATATGCCATGCTATATAAAGAGCTAGCACTGGTGAATTCATTAATTAATATAGAAATGGATATTTATTCATTTCATGTGCTAATTAACTTAATGCCCGCTAAGACGCAGCGTGCATTTTATTGACATGTCAAGGGTTAACTTAATTTGCACAATGTTTCCAAAATAATAAAGGGATAAGGGCATTGGTATTGACCATAAAATTCTCCTGAATTGCTGCCTGCAGCCATTATAATAACTTATATAGTAATATTAAAAAAAAAATCTTCATCCATACAATTACCAAAAAGTACTCTTTTTTTATTTTTTTATTAAATAAGTAACATGTTCCCTCCCATTTTAATTTTTGATTGTTATAGGCAAAAACCTGCAGTATGTACAGTATGTACCTAGACACTGGCTAATGTAGGTGCCGTGGACACTGACAAGCACAGACAAATATTACAGGACAATGGTTTGCTTCCAGCTACCACCAAAATAAATAGAAACAATTACAGAGATAATGGCATTACACTCTCAGCAAAATATAGCAAAGAAAAAAGGTTTTATTTAAGGCACATTTAAGGCAGCATGTCCACTGGGTGTGAGCTAAATAGAAAGTTAATCTTACAACTAAAATGCTTAGATCAAGGTGTTTTTAGCCCTTTTTTGTTCTGAAAAATATATATTTTTTTCTTTTTAAATTTAAAGAATACCTATACCTTTAATTTTATCATTTTAAAACCAAAAATGGTTCATCAAAAATAAAAGGAACAGCTTCCAGAGAGTAACGCCTTGCACATTGAACAACTACAATAAGCTGTATTGGTTACGGTTTTTGGAGTTAAGGCAGGCGTCTCAAATTCTGACCCCACAGGTATTGCTTAAACGGACACTAAACAGACCACTTCATTTTAAGGGCTCCTGGGTGCTTTAGCCCTGTAATTGGAAACATTGCTGTTTAGTAGACAGCCACTAAAGGGACATCCCCACTGATAACCGTGTTTGACTCTGTTATGGGACATTGAACCTTGAATATTATCAAATGCTGATCACAGAGACGTACTGGATTCAATGTTCCCCTATGAGAAGCATTTGATTGAATAAGTGTGGCACTCGGTACATAAATGCTTCTCATCCCCAATGCTTCTCTTTGAGAAGCATTCAGTTGGACAAGAACACGGAGGAAGCAAAGCCTATAAGATCGATTAGTGGACAGCAGGACCAAGTGAATCTCAGCACTGGAGAACCTATTTTCCTTTAGTTATTTAATTAGGGGGGGCTTTAATGTAAACAGGGAGGAGAGAACTAAAGCATTAGGAATACATGTTTTTAATCCTAATGCTATAGTATCCCTTTTAATACAACCGGCCATATATCACATTAAAGAGTTCTGGGGGTTGTAGGCCACCAACATCTGAGTTGCTGAGTTTGAGATCCCGGCTTTAAGGCCCAGGTTAGCAATGGCTTGCTTTTAGAGACACTGCTATATGTGGCCTATAGTTTCCATGCTGCTTGGCCATCCTAAAGATACACATACATTTACAGAGTAAAGATTGGTAAATAAACAACCTCAGCCACACAAATGGCCTATGTTATTGGACCTGCAAGGGCATGTTATCCAGTTAGCATTATTAAAGAAATGATTAAATACACAAACAGACTGGATCCTAATCGGAGACAATAGAAATGTATATATTTCTAACCTAACAATTGTAGGTTGAGTGCAAAAAAAACCCAGTAAAATATTATGGTGGAAGTCCATTCACCGAACAAGTTAAGGTGACTCATCTCCAATGCAGCAAAGATGGACAAATTATTCCAACTATTTGGGCCTAAATCTAGTTCATAGTTTCTCCAGTCATTGCAGCTCTTAATTTAGTGAAGAGATCCTGGAAAATTATAGCATTTGGACAAATTATGAACATGATTAATGAACACAGGCTGGAATCAGTGCCAACATATAGTCAATAAGTGCATACATGGGTTATTTAGGTTCGGACACAAATTGCTTACTCTTTTTAAAACTGCAATTTATTTCCACCTGTAATGTAAAGGCAATAAAATGCTTGCTTAGGAAAATGCAAGGCAAATATGAATGGTAAACTACATGTAAAATAAAACATTGAATGGAATGTTTCATTGCATTACCCTGTCTTGCCCAATTATACAAATTGCAAAGGTTTTGGTCCATTCTGCACGGAACTGTGTTCCCCAGATGTTACCACTCATGTTCAAGAGCAATTCTTTGCTCGAAACGTGGAACAATTTCCATGGGAACCAAAGAAGCATACCGTTTGCTTTACTTTTAGAACTTGCACAGAATTACACTTTATACAGAACCACAATTAAGTCTGAAATCTTGCTCAATTTCCTCCAGCAATATACTAGAAAGGTGACTAGCAATGGACATAATCAGGATTCAGAAAACAAAACGGACTCTCCCAGTGCCTAACCTTGGGCTTTCAAAGACTTGGTGGCTATCCCACCTGCCACTATAACTGCATCAGAGACACACAACAGATTTTTAAAATATATTTTGATTTAAAAAATAAAACTAGCAGTGCATTTTTAGGGAACATGCTATCGTCCACAAACATCAAGACTCCTTCTATAATATTTTGGTTGTGAGTGATTTACTGTGGAAATTTTTTTTTACCGCAGAACTAAAATATTTTAAATGACTGTACCCTGTATTTATAAAAAATCACATTTCAGGAGTGTCTCTTAAGATTTAATGTTCCGTAAAACGAACTTGGTACAATGTGAGGTCCTTTGCTTAGCTAACTATGTAACTTGAATCATATTGGGGACAACTGGTCTCTCTATCACATTGCAAGTATTTGTGCTTTTTGTAACATTTATCAAACATATAGTGCATTGAGAATGCTAATCGTGTAAATTGTTTAGTTTACTGACTAAATTGGGGATGGCAGTAGATTAAGAAGGTTATTATAAAACAGATGAATTGGAAAATGCTTTAGCTCCATAATATTTTTAGCTTAACTCTTTTAACTTAAAATATGCAATCATCTTCCGTTCTAAACTTAATGAATAATCCCCTAGGTGTCTTGAATTTATTATAGATGCAAATAACACTGAAAATGTTAAATCCGCTTCCCACAAGCTGTGTTCCCCCTTTCAAAGATCTGTATGCTCCAAGCACAAAGAGAAGCCAAAGTTTGCCATTTACAATAAAATGACAGATATTTATTACGAGCTGCTTGGTCATGCCAATATAAAGATCAATGTACTGTTTCAATGCTGTATCTTTCGCTAAAACTACTTAGAGGGAACACGGCTTCAAATACTAGAGAGTTACATGTGCCTAGTTTTTTTGTGGTCAACTGGGCTGGAAGCTATACTCAGGTCTAATCTAGGGTAGTGATGGCCCCACATTTGGCTCCCTCTCATCTCTAATCAAGTTACAAAGTATTAATAGTAGGGTGCCTAGTTGTCCTTTCTCTGGAACTTTGATCAGCTGCTCTGTCTATCCTCCTTATACGGAAAGAATGTGGCGCCCAAGCCTAAACCTAGATCACTTGAAGAATAATTCTTCATCACTTAGCCTTTTTTATGCATCTTTCGCTATCTCTTTTTCTCCCTCTTTTTTTCAATGGCCATTTCCACCGATCTTCCTCCACCATTCTTTCCACCATGTCCCATTCTTGCAGCATTCTACCCCAGTATTTTGACACATTTCTCTTCACCTCCCATCCTATTTTTACATTTTAGCTCCTTTAGATTGCTACTAATGCTGGCATTACTCAATCGCTGAAGCAGTCCTTAGTAACCTGAGACGAAAGAACAAGGATATCTACCAGAAACCACTCACTAAATGAACAAATGTTCTCAATGGTATAATATCAAGAATAATTAATTCAATTTTCATGAATGTACTTATCAGCATTCTCAGTTCAGGAAAGCAAAAAAGGTTGATAGCCTCGGTCCAAAGGTCCAAGGCTTACTGATTTAAGGAAGTTTAATTTCAGAGCTGACGAGGGCCAGACGTAAGACTTTAAAGTTAAACCTTTCATTAACGGTTTAACCCGTAACGTTAAGCCATTGCCTGGGACATCGTCGCACCATAATAACTTCATTTGAATGAACTGTGGCTAATTGATTATATATATATTTATCATTGCTAATTAAATAGTTTTTCCATTGACTTTAACCCCTTAAGGACACATGACATGTGTGACATGTCATGATTCCCTTTTATTCCAGAAGTTTGGTCCTTAAGGGGTTAACGGGAGTATTGCTATTAAACTACCAAAGTTAAAAATGATCTCTGTGCCCCTAATTTGGCTGTAAAGTTAGTATTTGAAGAACAGCCAAAAAAGGTCATCAGGGACATCTTTAACTCCCAGATCGCAATAAAAAAGTGAAAATCACATAAATATAACTTAAAGACATTTAATACCTCTATCAGTGGCCTTTGGAAAAGCTGGAGATTTCTAAGAAATGTAATTTTTGGAAAAAATACCGTCCCTTTAAGCCATGGATGCATCTTTTTCCCTACAATGCATTGCACATAAATAAACTAAGGGCTTGTTTCTGCAGAAATTAAGCAAAACAATAGTAAACACAGATTCCTTCGTAACTTACTCACTATCCTCAGAGTTATTTAGAGCACATTTTGTTAACCAATATAAAATTGAATAGAAAAGATATTTATCATCTCGATGGAGAAATTTAAGTTGGTTTGACAAAAACAAAACAAAAAAAAACAACAAAAATATACAAGTTTAGGGACCTGTCAGCACATTGTAGAACAAAAACTTGATGGTCCAAATATCATTAAATAATTATAAATTAAAATGTAAAACCTTGATCAAAATTAGCAAAAAAAAAAAAAAAGTTCCTCCAATTTTATACACATTGATAATTTAAAAATAAGACTAGCCATACATCACAACATAAAATTCATACCACTAGAGCGAATATTGCTACTTTTTATGCTTAGGCAAAATATTTTTTTTTATTATTATTATTATTGTGTACTTGTTGCTTTGACAAAAAAAAGCAAAAAAAAAGTTTTTTATAAGTGCACCTTGCTTAGTCCAGAAAAGGTGTGATGTTGACGCTACAATGTACCGCAAGGATTTGGTCATTGAAAAAAAGTATTCTGTGCAGTTTCTCGAGTGGAAATCATTCAAAATCCAGGATTTCCCTTTTGTTGTAGATAAGGCAGGAAGTGGCAGCGAAAAATGTTATTATTTTTTTCCCTTATTTTCCCTGGTTGACACAAGTCACTTCAATGAGAAAAAAAACTACCGTACAACTTTCTTTGGAATGGTTAAGGTCAATATAAATATTATTATAATAAAATACAAAAATGAATATTTAAGGCAAAGTGTGCTTTTATCGAACTCGTTTGTAACTTAAAGGCATAATTATTGCCAGTTAAGTTCTATTGCATCATGATATAAAAGTCTCAATGAGTTGCATTTAAACTTGACATTGCATAGAATAGGTTTTGAAAAGGCACTTTCGTATTGTTATCGTATAGGCAATTTGGCCACAGGTAAAAATAAGTACTCAATAAGGCCTCCAAACAGACTCATCCATTCGACCACTGGAATTCAGGACGGTAGGAGAACTGCTATGGCTTCCGTCAGCATCAACACCATCATTCTGGTTACCTAAATTGGGGTTTAGTAATGTGCCACCATTTGAAGTAGTACAAGGTGGAAGCATCCTAGAAGGCGACCGGTCACCCCCTGGAACCATAGGGAATTGGTATGATCCAGATGATGTACCATAGTAAAGGTAAGGAGTGCTGCTGGTCTGGAAGGGTCCACTTTGGTTCTGGGATGAGCCTGGATAAGGTGGTGGTAGATAGGTATGGTAATGAGTGGTTGCAGACATACCCAACGACATCCCTGAGGTGACTGGAGGAGTGTATGTAAATGTTGCAGGATAGTGCATGCGCGGGTTGGAAAAGCGACTCTCCGTTAGGGATGAAATACTTGTAAACTGCCTTGGATCGGAAAATGGGCCCAGTTCTGAGGCACCTAAAACAGAAAAAAGTAAGCAGCGGGTTAATTACACGATTCCAAGGACAGTGACTTATTGCTGTATAATACTCAAATAAAATCCATCTGTGCAATAACTAGGCTTGTGCGTGGCAGAAAATTGTGTTACGGTCAAACCATATTTTTATGGAAATAAATTATTTCAGGAGCTCAGATGGTCTGAATATTGTCCATGCAAAATATTCAGAAAAATGATTTGGACTAATCAAAAAGGGCGTCAAAATGATACACATGATATAAATATATACATAGAAAATGTAAGAAGGGAAGCCGTAAAATAAAATCTATACATTCTGTATATAATCATTAAATATATAAATATAGACTGCTCCTCCTTTTCCCCCTCTTTTGGTCACTTCTTAGTCAATCTGTGAATTTATTGGTTGTACATTAGCCATTAATCATCCTTTTTTCCATCAATCGTCTCCTTTTTTTTTTTTGTAGATTAAATGAACATGTTCAGCTATTGGGCCAATCACTTGTTTGGTTTTACATCCAGATACAGCATTTGGCCAAATAGCAGATTGGCCTAAATTCAGATGAACTGCAATTCAGCCAAAACCGAATGCACAAGTCTAACCGTAACCAAATCTTACGTGTGTAGATTTTTTGATGCTATATGTATGTTTTTTGCAATGTGACCTCTCTTTCGTTCTTTGTTACTTTATATCACAGTTATCTCATTCAGGACTCAGTCTGATGCAATGGGATTGTTAGTGCAGGTGTGAAAGCCCAAACTCTCCATTAATGTATTAACTTGTTTATATTATACAGTGTGATTGTGAGTACAATAATATGTGTTTTATATCGTTTGGGAGTATTTTAATTCATATCTGTGAGCATTCCTTATGGAAATGTATATACTGCATTTGCGTTCATTGATTCTATTAAAAAATAATAATAATAATAATTTAAATTCTAAAAGGAGAAAAAAAAGAAACCTACAAACTTAATACTAAAAGTCACACTGCCCTTTAATTTTTTTCCCCTCTTTTCCCCTGTATATTTTGGTCAGAAACGAAACGATTAAAAAACATGTGTTTCCATTTATTTTGTTGCAAGCGTCTCATTAAGAACCCAAGATTGGCCCCATTCCAGGCTATAAGTCTCCTCAATGGACTTTTCTTCCTTTCTGCAGCCTCCTCTACTCCCGACACACACACACACACACACACCATCTCCCTCTCTCTCTCTCTCCTCTATCTGCATTAGCTTTTACAATCCCTTAAGGTAGCACACGGCCCCCTCCCTTCATATGTTGCCTCTCGTTTAACAATTACTAGCCCAAAGTTGTGGTTTGATTGGACTAATCAAGAGTAAATTTCTCCCAGCCTCTCAGCAGTTTGCCCCTTCAGGCTCAATTACAATAGTGCGGTTGTAACTGACTCCTCATTGCAATGTCAGGCTAATTATATAATAATGGCAATATTAATTTGATAACCTACACTAAACACCCTGCCAACTTTTCTGCAGTCACTTTGCATTATTTTATATGAACTGAGCTCAACGTTTGGTAAAATTCTACAATTACTGCTAGGGATTCTAGGAAAGGGGTTATCGAAGGGTCTTGAATGCCACATATAACACTGGGATTTAGTTAATAAATAAAAAATGAGTTGGGGTGGTCAGAAGGGATGTCTTCAGCTGATCTTTTATTTTGCCCTGAATTTGCAATTGCCTAGGTAATTGTCCATAGTTCCCAGTTTAATGAATACAACTTTCTCAGGTCTATCCACTGAAATGTGAAGTGTCAGAGAATCAAAGCTAATTTCAAAATTCACCTTTAATACGTTTTTAACTCCTGACAACTTTAGCGAATAACAATGCCTCCATTAAACTATAGATAGGGGTCACATCATACTCAGAGCTTGAATACACTAGACTGAAACTGCACAATTAGCACTATATAATATACCAATGTGTGGTACATTAGCGTATCTTCTAGAACTCCACGTGCAAGGTGCAGTCTGTTGTCTGGGTTAATGAGTATCGTAATTGGAACAGATTAAATAACAGCGCATGTGGAGTAATTGAGCATCGCAATACAAGCCCAACCTGGGAATAATGCATAGGATTCTGGTTTTATATTCTATTTACCTACAATGCCTGCAAAGTATTGGACATGGGAGGAGGAATAAGGGAATGTCTAACAGAAATCAGGACATTTGGGATGTATGTGTTATAGAAAACTAAAATTCACATTTAAGGGGAAATGAATCCAACAGATCTGTATTAAAAGAAATAAATATGCATTTTTAAACAGCATTCCTTAAAATGGGGAGCAGGGAGGGTTACATCTATTCTCAGGCACTTCAGTAAAAAGACCAGATGTCGAGATGTACTACATATCTTATAAAAAGAGAAGATCTTTGTTGTATAAAATAGGAAGTACACTTTACAAGGCTCCAGTGGTTTTAGTGCAAGGTCCATTTTAACTGAGGTCTGGTCACCCCAGCCGGTGATAGCTAACAATGCCAATGATTATGCTTGTTAGGCACATTCCCCGTGATGCTCAGCAAGCCAGAAGATCATTATAACAATGAGCTGAGCAGACACTGCAGTGACCGGTTACAAGCAGCACAAATACTCCCCACACGGGTCTTCCTATATTTCATATAAAATGAAACCAGTGTAAAAAAACATAAAGATGCTCTCATAATATAGATTAATATGGTCAAAGTAATGGTAAGGCTCTGCTGTACATGAGACTCAACTACCCATTACTATCAGGCAGCAATAGTGTATTTCTCCACTCATTCTGAATGAATTAAAATAAATGACTATTTAAGAGAGGGAGGGAAAGCTATTAACAGTTTAATTGTTATGCTTTCCTGAAGAAGAGAGTTTTCAATAGGTTTTTGAGGGAACAAAGACTGGGTAAGAGTTTAGCAGAAAAGGGAGTTCCACAGGGACAGTGCAGCCCTAGAGAAGTCTTGAAGATGAACGTCAGAGGTGAGAGTACAAACAGGGGACAGAAGCAGGTTTTTGGCAGAGAGTGGGGACCTGGACAAGACATACTTGTGTATTAGGGAGGATAGGTAAGTGGCAGCAGCAATATGTAGAGATTTGTAAGCAAGTACCAGGATCTTAAATTGAGCCCGATATCAGCCAGAGGGAGGAGGCTAGAGAGGTGCAGGTGAAAAGGAAGATAATCCTTGCTTATATACAAAACACTAAGCCTAAGGGTACCCTACCCTTACCTTTTGTATCACATTACCCCACTCCCACTAGCATGTAAGCTCATTGAGCAGGGCCCTCAATCCCTTTGTTGCTGTGTGTCCAACTTGTCTGGTTACAAATACGTGTCTGTTAGTCCACCCATTGTACAGCGCTACTTGCTGGCGCTTTATAAATAGTAATAATAATAATACTGTATAGACTGTAACAGGGCAAGTTGGGAATACATAAGACCACTGAGAAGCAGATTGCAGTAGTCAAGGCGAGAGAGGATAGTGGTATATGGACCAGCACCTTAGCCGTGTCCAGCGTTAAATAGGGGGGATGAGATGGAAGGGGCAGGATTTGACTGGACACGAAGGGTGAAGGTGAGGTTGGCGTTAAAGAGAACACCTAGGCAATGACAGTTCCATTGGAAAAACTCTAGGGAGGGTTGAGTATAAAAAAAAAAAAAAATTAAAAAAAAGGAATTTAACAATGGCAAACTTGTTATAGATAAAAACCCGGCAATGCTCTATGATTGCACATTAAAACAGGTGGAGCAAGGAAAATGTTTGCAGTAACTTTATAAACATTCCATTTCCCTTCATTAAGTAGTGGAAACCTTCACAGGGAAGTCCCCATGTTTTTGTTTGTAAACATTTATTTTAATAAGCTGCTTTATTTATTTTAATAAGACACAAAACTATAAAGCCACGGCTATTTCATCTACTCACAAGTAAAATAATAATTATGGTTCAGCCCTCGCGTAATAGAGCTATATTCAGAGTAAAGCACCCTACGCATTGATACATTCATCCCACGGAGAGATAAGAGCCCTGGACTCTTGACAGAGTGTGATCGCAGACATTTACAAATCAAATATTTGCTTTACGCAATGACTTGAGATTCACGTAGGCACACGACATACAAAAGTATTTTAAAGAATTTCAAAGAAAAATGCATCTGAGATTGGGGCTGATGGACAAACATGATTAGTGCTAGGAAGTGAATGGTGCACAGGACCTTCTTATGGTTTGTCCGGAATGATAGAATGGTGACTCTGCTTAGGAGCGACAGGTGTCATGTGACCACCCGGCGCTCAGTATGAATCAATGCGCCACCAGGTGTGGTCGTTCAGAGGTCCCTCTCCCCTGCTATGTGAGGTAAAACAGCAGGGAGGGGGGCAACAGTGTGTAGCATAGAGCAGGCTGTTAGTCTTAAAGCTGCCTGCCTTAGGGAAGGAGGAGGGAAATATGGATGAAAAGGATGGGGGGGGCATGGGAGGGAGGTCATAGATGTAAGTAGTATTGAGACATGGGGGAAGACATAGATGTAAGGGGTAGGGAGACATGGGGGAGACATAGATGTAAGGGGTAGGAAGACATGGGGGAGACATAGATGTGGGTAGTGAGACATGGGGGAGACATTGATGTAAGGGAAGGAAGACATGGGGGGACATAGGATGTAAGGGGAAGGAAGACATGGGAGGAGACATTGATGGGGTAGGAAGACATGGGGAGACATTGATGTAAGGGGTAGGAAGACATGGGAGGAGACATAGATGTAAGGGGTAGGGAGATATGGGGGGAGACATTGATGTAAGGGGTAGTGAGACATGGGGGGAGACATTGATGTAAGGGGAAGGAAGACATGGGGGGGACATAGATGTAAGGGGTAGGAAGACATCGGGGGAGACATAGATGTAAGGGGTTGGAAGACATCGGGGGAGACAAAGATGTAAGGGGTTGGAAGACATCGGGGGAGACAAAGATGTGCCTGTGTGATGGTGACAAGCATTCCTCTGGCACATCACCATCATCACACAAGTCTAAATATGTGTGTGTAAATATATATGTATGATTTGTAGCTGTTAACACATATTATTATTATTATTATTGGCATTATTGGGAAAGCATTGCGTATGGAGCTTTGCTATTCCATGTGTACTAGCAGATGGGCGGATTTGTGTGAGTTCTCCTTGCACTGATTTCATATAGAGGGGAGGACTTTGGGTGATTGGCAGGACTCTGGTCCTAAGAATCCTCAGGAACAGGTTTTATATTTCGTTTGAATGTGATACAGCATGTTTAACCTAAATCTCATTTGGGTACTATGCTCAAATACCAAGTGCCATGCTCACTATGGAAATGCAGACAATAAAAAATGATTGAAATTGATCCAAAAACCAGACAAAACTGAAATGTTTACTTTTTCATGGGGGAGTGGAGGGGGGGCCGAGACAGCTTCTCGCCAAGGGCACTAGAGATCCAAGGTACGCCTGTACCTACCTGTAACTCCTAAATCTCTAACCCAACTCCTCTCTAACACCTATAACTCCCAAATTCAGTAGCCCCAAGCCTTAAACTCTTGCTCCTAACTGACTTAACCCCTACAATCCCTAAATTTAACTCTCATAATCCTGAACTCTAACTCATATAATCTATGTTCCCTACTGGGGCTCTCAATCGTTTAATCTCATATATATAGAGCCTTAGCACTCTCTCTCATCATTAAGGGTTAAATATAACTTACGGAGTAGCAAAGAAGTATGACTGTTGATAAATAAATAAAATTAAGCTTACTTTCCGGTCTAGCATTTTTCAATTCTATTTTCTATTTTCTGGAATGTTTACAGAATGTATTCCACTCCTGCGAGAGTCACCAGTGTTTATTCCAATACATGTATTAACCCCTTAGAGAGCGGTGACAAATTGACAATCCATGTCATCGTATCAATTCTGTCCATGCAGATGGAGTTACCTGCTTTATACGGTCAGGTGCCTTACACAACACATGACCAGGACAAGCTATCACTGAGCAGGGTGTCATAGGACAAAAGCATCATCTGACATTGGTCCTTCACACGATTTGGGGCTAATCTAATAAACAAAGATAGGATATTATAGAAAATAACTACTTTTCTGCGTTTAGAAGTTCTATAGTTCAAGGATAGGCAACCTTTGGCACTCCACGTGTTGTGGACTGCATGTCCCATAATGCTCTTAACAGCCGTAATGTTGGCAAAGCATCAAGGGAGATGTAGTCCACAACATCTGGAGGTCCGACGGTGTCCTACCTCCTGCTCTAGGTGATGAGATGTGCAAGCATATTATTTCGAATTGAAAAAACAGAAAGATCATGCTGGCCGTAGAATTTTATAATAATGTAATAAATCTCTAACAAGCGAGATCTTTCAAGTGCCCATATTTCAAGAGAAAGTAACGCTGGCAGATGAGACATTACTTTAGATTTGCCATGTATTCCATAATAAAGCCTTCTCCTTCAAAAAAAGACACTTTTCAATGAGAGGAAACCAGCAGGGCTCCCTGACAGATTGATTAGGAACTCCAAAAACTGGGAAAAGGCTTTGCTTTGAAACCAGATATACTGCAAAACAAATGCCAACCCTCTGGCAGCTGGTTTATCTAACAGGGGGCCACACACAGAGCCACGGCGGTCATGTGACTTCACTGTCACATCCTCAAGTCATTTACAGCCTTGCGTGCGTTTGTATTCCGCTCCGAAAGGACGAGATATACTGGGAAACAGCATATGGAAACACTTTGATAGAATCCGTTTCCATGAAATTCATAACTAGCCGAGTGGCTTCAGATGTGGTTACGAGACCATGATAAGACTTTAAACACGCGCAGACGACAAACCCACCCGGTCTGCCTTTGTTTTAGCTTTTATCAAGGGTGGGGAGCCGCAGAAAATGGGGGGGCGGGGGGTAATCCCAAAAGAAAGAATCTGATGATTTATGACTTCGGCAAATTGTAGGAGTCTGCCTTCTTCCAACAGTAACTAGCACCTGCCATTTCTACAATTGATCAAATTCCTGTCTAGTATCAGAGAAAAAAACACAAGTACAAAGCCTGCGCTTTATTTGATAACATGTGTGGTTAATTAGCGTTTTTGTTTCTAAGTATCATTTATAATCCCAGTGAATTTCTGAAAAGTTAATCTCCCCAAAAGAAGCTTCGGGGAGAGGTTACGTGAGGGTTTAACCTTTGATGAAGCATGTTTTAAAAGCCTTATGCAGAGGTCAGTGTGACTCATGGCCCCTGGGAGTGCGCAGAGCTGAAAATTTGTTACCAAGGATCAAGAAGGAATAAAGAACGTGATTTCTCTACAAGATATCTGCAACGAGGATTTGAATCGCCTGACCCAGGGTAGATCTAGCACACGCTCTGACTGTAGAAGCTCATCCTGTCCACCAAAGAAAGAGCGAGAATGTAGTTATAACTACGGCTGGCTGAGAGTAAAGGGAGTTGTAGTCCAGAAAAAGCTGAAAGCCTAAGCTTATGCAATCCACTTGTTTGATTAGGAGCCCAGTCGCATGTCACCCCAAAAAGGGGCCACACGTTATCTGTCTACTAAGTTGTAGTTATTCTTTCTTAGCTATATTTCTTGGGAAGCGCTGTTTTTGGGGGGTTTTTCAGCGAAAAGTCATATCACAAGTTTATTTATTAACACCAAATTTTAGTGAATCAAAAGGCAAAACTGAGACTAAATTAACTGATTTGGAAAATTTCTCCAACACACTGATAGTCACAGCTTGGTAACGGTAGCCTCAATTTTGCCCTTCAGATTTAATTCACTAACATTCAGTGTTTATAAGTCTGAAGGAGTTCTACAAAGTTGTACGTTTGTACTGACAAACGATCACCCGTACTACATAAATACTTTTCTGGAGGGTGGCTTAGAGGTTACAGAACTGTGTGACAACAGTGGATTCAATTTAAAGAAAAGGAACATGTTCCAGGTTTTAATTATGTAAGCCATTCACTACTGAATTCACACCAGAACCCAGGTTTCATGGCGTCATGAAAAGTAGCACATGAAGACAGATACTGCAAAGTGATCATTCCTGAATAAAGCCAGGTATATGATTAAAGGGGCACAATAAAAATGTAACCCGAATGAATTTGTTTTGGTGCAAGGAGGTCCAAATGCTGACACACAAGGATTTGTCTAATGGAGCAAAACAAATTATTTTGTAAAAAACTTACAAACCTAAAGAAGATTAATTTAAAAATAAAAAAATATTCAGTATTGGAAACCTAATGTGTGGGTACCTTATAGTGCCCCTTTAATTATATATTATTGTCCATGGGATGTTTATTCACTAGAGACAAGGGGCTGATAATTATTTCAATGATTTTATTAATAAAGGGATTGTGTATTATTTACACCATTATAAAAGACTCAATGGCAGCATTTGTTTTAAACGTAAACTCTGGGCAGGGTAAGAGGTCCCTAAGTGGTGTGATGCAATATTGCGTATCTGTTTATTAATACACGAAGCTTGTTTTCTTTGTGATGTTTGGTTCTAAGAGTAAAGACGGTTTAATGCCCCTATTTCCTTGGCTAGATACCAACTTGGGCAGAGCTGGGTGTGACTGCAGCAATTATAACACCCACACACCAGCATAATTAGTGCAAATGAACAGACTGAAAAACAATCAACATAGTCGCACAATAGCCGCACAATGTGTCTGTTTAGTCTGCTTTGTGATTTTTAATTGTCTGCCTTTCCGGCTCGGATTAAAAGCGGCATAGCTCGAGGGTAACACCACTCAGAGATTGGATAATAGATTAAAGACTTACAGGTTAAATTATCTGCAATGATTTTTTTTTATGTCATTAAAGTTTTTATCAAAACAAAAACTTTATTTACAAATAATAATGAAACATATTTTTGTATAAATTAATTATCCATGTTGTCTTGTAGTATTCATATGTAAACTACCAACTTCCCAAGGAGTGTTTTTTACACACCCACACAACCAAGTAAGTCTAAACACGTATTAAATCAGTGTTATTGTGTTTGTGTTTTAAATGTGCTGTGATGTTAACATTGCCTTCTGATAAGGCATAGCCAAGGCATTTAATGCAAATCAACTTTGGTTTATGATGATGCTTGGTTCATCTCAACTTAAAGGGACACTATATTCACCCAGACCACTTCATCTCAGTGTCCCTGTCCCATTTAGTCCTGCAATGTAAAACATTGCAGTATGAGAAACTGCAATAAATACATTGCAAGACTAATGCTGCCTCTAGTAAGTGTCAATCCAGGCTGATCAAGGCTTTCCTACGGTGAGGGTCTAATGCACTTGGCGCACGCGCATTAGCCACCCCCTCGACCCCCCATCAGATGATGTGGGGGAGGCGGAGCACCGACCCAGCACCGGGGGACTACGGAGCTGGAATCGGGTAAGTTTTAAAAGTTTTTTTTAACCCCTTGGAAGCCAGGGGGTGTGTGAAGGATGGGGGAGGACCAAAGGTCACTATAATGATTTGTATCCCTAACACTAACAGATTCCCTTTTTCAAACAAGCCTTTAGATAGGTTTCCATGACTATTTTTAAGTCAATGTGTATTAATAATACAAAGGTTAGTTTTCCCATTACAAATGGCAACTACTTTATATATATATATATATAGGATTTATTGGGATATGTAGACTGTGTAGACTATAAACATTAAAAGAGAAAATGTGACAGTCTATTTTTATTAACATAACAGAAATACATTAAGGAACCCGTGTCAAGATAGATGGGAGGGTGGGAGCGTAACCCCTAGCTTATTCGAGATATCAGAAGAGAATCATGTTTAATTCTGCTTCGATTTGTTTACCACTCCTGACCTCTTTACACACTTTATTACACAGAAGCAGAATTAATCATGATTTATTTTGTGACTGGCATTGCCTCAAATTCTTTATACTTCATACACATATGCAAGTCTAAAACTTGTTTTTAAATGATGTTTTTAAAGAAAAGGTATGTTTTATAATTGAACACGTCTGGGAATATTATTGTAGTTTTTTTCTATTCTCTTCTATTTTTATTAATAATTATTTTCATATGCTCTCATGTGTTCAATCTAATGCTACTGGCTATTGAATCGTGGCATATTATCATCCTTTTGAAGAACACTCAGGATCAGAGCCTTGATGATGACACTTCAAGGACTACTTTAGGAGACAACTGCCTACACAGTCTATCCATACTGTTTTAGGTTACTTTATAACACCAAGAGAAAATATCTAGTGAAGCAAAATCACTGCAGATCAAGGAAATGGTCAAGAGATACATGTTGGTTTGCAATGTTTACCGTAATGGTATGAGTGCTGGTACTGGGACATGGTCTGCACATTACCTGAGAGGCGTCTGGGCACATCGGTGATAGCTGGAAGCCCTGTACCTCGGGTGGACGACAATGGAGTTGTGGAATGAATGGATGGAGATGTCATCTGACTCAAGTAGGACGGATATGACTGGTCATATGACCATGGAGGGGATGACTGTGTCTGCCTGGGGTCTAAAAGTAAAAAAAAAAGAATATTTTAAGTTGTTGATATCTTTTACCTGAAGTGGGATGAAATACCTCCCTGACTACTTCAAGCTTTAAAAATGCATTCTCTCATAAAGGGATGTTTTCAATAAACAGTGCTCTGCAGTACATTGACAGCCAACAATACTTTGGGCACAATAGCTAAAATTGAATAAAATGTCCTAAGCATTCAAGTCAATATATTTTATGCATCAAGGTACTTTGATCTAACGTTTGCCAGCTGATGGTCAATACATTGTGTATTGAATTACCACATAAACTATTTTTCCCCGTTGTTATTTAAGCGTTAATTAACCATGTATTGTGCATGTGTCTGTCAACAAAAAGAAATATTACATATATCTGTTATTTTCTATCCTTGTATTAATACAAAAGTAAAATATATATTTTATTTTGATAGTCCTGACCCAAAAATATAAATGCATCCCCACCCAGTGTGTGATATTCCATTAAGCTACCTATTGCCTGTTAATCATGCCCTTACAACAAAAAAAACAAGGACAGTGCAAAACAAAAACAAAGTAAAGAAATCTGCTTCATGTTCTGTACAAGTTGCCAAAATGCTTAATTTCTGCATTAACCAGAAGCACTTTCAGCAAAGTCAAGTAATTCCAAGAGGAAAGAAATCATTAATCCCATTAATGACCGTCCAGGAGTTGGACCAAGTCTTGGTTGGACGACGTCCGACTTGTATCTCTGTCCTCCTCGATTTAAACGGACATGCAGTAAGTATGGTGGATCACTGTTTACAGACTAAATGGTTTCTCAATTATTAAACCAGACCTCATTAGTCTGACCTACAAAACTCCAGATAGGTTTTCTCCCTCTTGCATAAATTGGCTTCTCAACGAAACCCTGCAGTTTAGATTTCCTTTGGTTGAAAATTTTAGGAAATAAAATTGAAATAAAACAAACAATATGACTTATGGAAACGGCACGACACTCCATGCTGCCAAAACGGCTGTACAGCACCACCCTAATAGCACTAGAATAACAGGACGAAAGGAAATTAGTGCTCCCGACGAGAAGTCCATATGGCTATGAGTGATGGATACAAATGTGGGGAATAAAAAGTGCATATTCGGGGATACCGGGGTTTAATTATGTACTATGACTCCAAGATGTCTGACGGAGTTCAAGTTTAGGTTTCTAGACTTTACATCTATTAACTATCTTCCACAAACCTTTATATTAAACATATGTGACAGAAAACGTGGTCCCATGTTAGCAGGCGAACAGATTGGAGGAATGTATGTTTGTTATAAAGAAAAAAGTGATGGAGAACATTGATAAGGTTAATGTCTTTGAAGACACTAACGATCTAAAGATTCCTTGTCAGATCACGGGAGGCTCAACTTTCATATTCTAACCTATCTACTATGTATTATCTTAGACATTTGTGATGTCAATAAATTCAAATGGATTTTAACTCCTATACAATCATATATGCAAACCTAAGGGTATCTTCTCTGGTGCCATTGCCATTTGTAAGATATTCCTTTTCTCTACAGCAAAGTAATTAGTTAAAGTGGCTCTGACACCAAAAACAATCCCTAACAGCATTAAAAATTATTTTAAAAAGTCTATATGTTGAGTTGATTTTTTTTATAAAAAAAAAAAAAAAGTTAACAGCGAATCTTTGGCATGTTGAGCACACAGCATCGGATAGTTCATAGAACCATTCCCCTTATTCATGCACAACATATAGCTAGAGGCTGCTGACATCACATGTAATTCAAATATGGCTACCCACATGGGAAAACCCTAGCAGACTTTCAAGGGGTAATTGCAAATAAAGTTGCAACCCCCATGATGACAATTAATATTCCACTGAAATGTTCAGGCGACAGAGATACTTTGATCAGACCTTGTTTTCTATTTTTAGAGCCATTTACAGCCAGCAAGTGAAGGACCTTACCTCCTACATTCACGCACACATTGAACATTACCTTAAGTTCCACTATAGTATAGATCCACGATACACTCATACACTGCACACAGTACGTTATGTTTTATTGCAACAGAGCTCTTTATACACTCACACACCCCACACATTACGGTAAGGTTTGTTACTGGGACCTCTATGACAACATACTTGTAACACAGAAAATGTTGTGCTCCAAGAAAAGAGGGACAAGTGGGTCTAAACGTGGCTCAGTAAGACTTTCCATAAATAGAAATGTACATAGTTATATATTGCTGTGCTTAGACCGTAAAAGGTTAGATAAACTAAACTGATAACAAAGATAAAGATGAGCGTACACAAGACTAGACCTTCCCTTTAGCTAATAGCATTGCCAATAATATTTTAGAAACCTTAAAATTGATGCCGATTATATTTTTTCTCAAGGATCTCCAACTCAAAGGTCTGCCAAGGACACCAATCCTATACCAAATATTATATAGTAGCGTATTCTACTGACCAGAATAGTAAATAGAATATAAGGATCTACATTGTGAATGTATAGTGTAGTTTATGTGTGTGTCTCTTAATGCATTACATTAGGTTGGTTAGTTGATCTCAAATGAAAAAATAATATGATAAACAGTTTCTAAGAGAAATGTGATAAGGATCAAACAATAACCCATTTTAATTCTGTAAGGTAGGTATGAGTGATAAAGAATAGGTCGCAGCACGCATAGTCTGCATGAGAAGCTAAACTTCCTGAACACAAGAAGAGCGAGGAAGCAAGCTCGAGATACAGGCTCGCATGCAAACAGCTCCTTCCTGTGAGTGCTACAGGCAAACATTTCACCAAGCTTCAAACACTGAGCCTTGCTAGTTATCTGCTTCCAAACAAGTCGCGCTCTCGCTTTGAAGATCAACCCCAGCACTCGTACGCTGCACATGCTGAAGATCTGAGGTTTCTTTTTATCCGCTCAGTGATATTTTCAGCATGGCTCACAAACAAACAAAAAAAAGAAAACAAGACAGAGCTTAACTTATCAGTTGCCAAACACAACCGCCTTTTTCTTACAATATCCTCCATCAATGAAAGGGTCAGTCCCACAGACTAGAGCAAACTGGGTCCCATTCAAATTATCTGGTGACAGTTTCCTAATAGACAAAATTATCTTAACACAGTATGTACGAACGCTGGGTGATTAACGGAGTCTCTAAGATATTTAAGACTAGGAAACTCTCTTCCACTCCTAAAATAAGAGGGAATCTCAAAGATTCTGGATTCAATATTTGCTGGTAAGTTTAATTTAGTTTAACATCATACATTGCACCAATAGACAAACACACATATTTACCATCGCTTGCAAAAAGTCATAGGATCTATAAAATGACTTATATCACCTAAAAGTAATAGCAAATGCCAGTGCCAAGTGTGGAGCGAGTGAAGATTTCACGTGTCATCTAAAAATTCGTAGACTGCAGTAGTCCCTGATTTAAGCTGGTCTTTACAATAAACGTTGAGAATATATAAACCATAGAAATGTGTATTCTACGGGAGGTGAATGAAAAGGGGAGTCCAGCGTTCTGTCTCAATTCTGTGACTTTATGCATTAACATTTTAACCTGTACATGTTTTGGCGAACGCAAGACATTCTTCTAGCCTTTACTTTGGTGAAACTCTTACGCTGATATGACACAAATTCCGCTGTGCTTTACAATTAATATTTACTGATAATTTGTTGGCATGATTAGCTAGATCCCTTGTGTTGAGCACCAGGATCTGTGGTCAACATTTTTAATCTTGGTTGTGATCCACATTCTCGATGTTTAAAGGGATTCTATATCTGTGCTTATTGGTTTCAAGCTTTTTGCACTAAGCACATGTGTGTATTATATTTAATTTGCCTTTCCTGTCATTTAATAAATGGAACTACCGGTATATAATTCGTGTGTTCCCCTACCGACATAATAAATGCCCAGAGATGATAATATTTTCTAGATACAGTTTTCAAATTACTTTATAGTTTCCGAAGATTGTTGATCTGGAAAAATTGTTGATCTGGAAAAATTCTCGAGATCAACCACATTTTAGCCTCAGCTTGGGCACTGGTATATTATTTGTGAGCATTCGGAGTTTAGCCAATAGCCCTGCCTGATTTGTAGATGTTCCGTGCCATCTCTTGTTGAGTTAACACTCTTGATTTTCATTGTATGCATTGGGGCTGATATGTACTGTAGTCATTGCTGCCGCCCATGAGTAATGGGAGTTTTAGTGCTTCATTTTTTTATGTTCCTATTTGCGTTTGTATTACACAGCTATGTTACAATGCTGCCGTCTACCAATGTGTTCCCTATTAAGGGTTAATAAGGGTTAATGTAGTGCAAGGTGAATTGCTAGTGTAGGACTTACCCAAGAGTTTTTGCCTTGACGTGGTAGGTAAGCTTACACTTTAATGGCCATTGGAGTGATACCATAAAAACCCTCCAGTTATTTAAATGTGCATAGAAATGTGGGATAGTCCTTCTTTTGTTTTTTAAAATGACACTAATGTCTGATTTCGTACTGTTTTTAACAGGCGCAAAAAAATACCATGTCAAATCTGCCATCCATTAAACTGTATTTATACATAAGGGAGAAAATGTGAAAAATATGACCAACTCATTGAAAATATTATTGCTAGCACTGTATATGACAAGAGACATTGTTTTTTACATAGGAATAAGACCCTACGTCTAACGGTGGCTTTCGTGGATGCTCTGTAATAATATTCCCCCTCCTTGAAAGAAAGAGACACTATTTACTTCTTGCACTACACTTGCTTTGAAAGAGACAAGTAACTGAGCATCCAACTCACGTTAAAGTACAGACATCTGCCAAGTCGGTGTATATTACATGCCAATGTCTGGGAAGATTATACTTGTGTACTTATCGACAAACTAGGACTTGTCAAGTCGAAAGGCTAATTTTACAACTAATAACTGTGGCTGCAAAGGACAAATCACTCAGCTAAATCACTAGCCGGAGGCCATCAGCAGCAGATCTAAGGTTAGGTGATGACAGTATACGTGTTTGGAAATTCCGCATGCAGTAAGTGCACAACGAGATCACACTCGATGACTAAACCCTCCTGACAGCTTTTTTTTCCAAGTCTGTCACAGGAGAATTCTTAAAAACGTAAGCCTTGTGTTGTGTGGCTTTTTTTTATCTAATACAATTCAACATGTATTTGATAAAACTATCTACCCATGAATGTGTTGGAAAAATTTTAGAATATTGCAGAGGAATGTCTCAGAATCTCCAGAGATGTAAGTGGAATGCATATGAATAGTATGGAACTAGTTTTTCCTTAATGGAAGACATTAACACAAACAAGCTATATATATATATATGTAGTTCACTTATTAATGCTCCATGAATCAGGTTCTCAGTATTAATCACAAGGCAACCATAACTTTGTAAAAAAAGCCATGTATACAGATAGTCATATCGGAAAGCTAAACTCACACACACCAATGTATAACTCATGAAGCTGTCAATGTACAGCCTTTTTCAAAAGAACCATTTAAGTTAAAGGGACACTACACCGCCCAAAATACAAAATAATAAATAATCCATACTAAGTAGTTATACCCAAATGAAGACGTGCATTTAAAAGAACACTATAGGATCAAAAATACAAACATGCATTCCTGACCCTATAGTGTTAATCACGTTAGGTAGCCCAGCCCCCCCTAAAAATTGTTAAAATGCTGGTCCTGACCCCGCTCCGCCTCCTTGGCTGAGATCGACAATTCTTATGATCTCATAGGAAAGCATTGGGAACCTAATACACAAACGAGGCAAAACGCTGCGCCGGCTTATCAGCTTCTCCTCATATGGGTCAATGTATCTCTGTGGGGAACATTCAGCGCCTCCATGCAGAACATGTAAGCACCTCTAGTGGCCGGCTGAGTGAGCTGTAAACTGTAGTTGTTGTGGTGACTATAGTGTTCCTTTAATAAAGCCTTTTTGAAATTGGGGGTATATCTAAAACCTGCAGATCTGCTGTCTGCAGCCTTTGCAAGCCCTGACTTTCTTCCCCAGACCAGACTTCCTCTGGCTGTCCAATCACAGGCTTCCACTGCAGCTTAATGACACGTATTTGCACACTATTACACACACACTATTCATACACAAAGTGCGTCAGCAAGCTAGGCTGCAGGTATATTTAATGGTAGGACCCCATAGCAAGAAAGTGCTGGTTAACGTCAATCCGAGAGTCCATTTACAAGGCCATTTACAGGTTTGTAGGGTCGTGCATTTATCAGTACACCACAATAGTGTGTCTTATCCACAATGATGCCTAAGGGCCAGAAAGTCTGACAACAAGCCACCAGCATTACGTAGGCAGCTCAATGGATTTTCAGACATTATCCCAGATGCACACCATTCCCCTGGAATGCAACCTCGCTGCCTGACTGATTGTACACTACTCCTTGCTTTTCTGACACCTTGGATAAGCCCATTCCAAAGCCTCAATCCTTTATCTAATCTCATTCCCATCCCAGGTTCTCTCTAGTAGTCAGGTCCATGCATCTCTTCCAAATGACATTTGAGTATGATTGTCTTCTACTCTTAGCACAGTCATTTGCACATAGATTTCAATAGGCTCTGCTTACATAATCCCAATAGTATGTTTTTAGTATTTTCTTTAACAGAAAAAAAAAAAGTGTAAAATTACAATTATACTTTTTGCCAATATCCATCTGAGCTTAGGTGAAAATATTCAGCAAATTTGTAGCGTTGGAGCTCCCTAATGATGAAGTAATGTTACAATGTCTAGGGCAGGCCTGTCCAACCTGCGGCCCCCCAGATGTTGCTGAACTACAACTCCCATGATTCTTTCAATGAAACAGATAGCCAGGGAATCGTGGGAGTTGTAGTTCAGCAACATCTGGGGGGCCGCAGGTTGGACAGCCCTGGTCTAGGGACACCCAGTACTTTGCTCTGATGCTCCGAATAAGATACATTTTACAGTCATGTGTAGAATGTTTACAAACAATTGTGAATATGTCAGACAGACTTAGACACTAGTTAACCCACCAGTGGTATCTCGATCTCTACTTTACATTATATGTAAGGCGTCTTATAACCTATATGGACTTTTCTTGTTTAATATTATATTAATATAGAGTACACAGAACATGCACTTTTTTTATTCATTATAAAATATTAAATAAAATAAATTTAAAATAAAATAATTGCTCTAACTCCTCTGCAAAATATTGAGAGAAAACTCTAGCAGGCTAACCAATGACAAACCATTCACAGAGAACACTAACTAAAGAAAATTAAGAGGTTGTTCATTGACTATCTTTCCACAATATGTTTAAACACGTATAACTATGTAGAAACCTTTTCTTCTCCTTCTTTGACAACAAAGCCTTCCAAACTACTAGTGATGGCCATTAAAATACCCGCTGCAAGCAAAAGACTACGATAAATATGGGGGACCACTATGGTACTTATTTAAAACAGTTACCCCTTTTGAGATGAATTATTCCCCAATCCTAATTTAATAAATTCTATGAATCCCCCACGGCTGCCCCTTACCTGCAATCTGACTCTGTCCTTGTGGATTAAAAGGACTTGGTGCAGAGTTCATGGAGGGGCGTGGACTCTGAGTTGGGACCCCCACTCTCATACTGGGATGAGGGATGCGCCCTAAATCACTGAGCCGTTCAGAGAACAGACTAGGTTTAGAGTCATCAAGCTTCTGTCTGTGTCCTAGAAACAGCAAATTATAAAATAACAGTTAATTATTATTGTCAGTGGAAAGCCTTCTACAGAAAAATAGGTAAAAAATGACCTGCATTAATATATATCTATGTTCCCGTCATTGTCTTTAGAACAATTAAACGTACACCACAAGGCCAAAGCCAAAACAAGCATTGGTACAGGCAGCTTGCAAGTGACATAATAAAGGTGTTCATTAATTCATGGGGTCACCTATACAATCTTGTAGCTAGTGTATCTAATTATTTTAAATTTGCTACTTGAATGGAGTGCCCCACATTTTATTTTTTTTTCCAGTTAAATTTTTTTTATATTCTCACCTCAATAAACGACATATTTTGCAGCGAGGCACAAATTGCAAACTTGCCAAATTTTTGAACTTCATAAACTGGGTAGGGAAGGGGGAGTGGCTGAGGTAAAGGGCAAATTACTGATGCAGCTCACGTGTTACTGTCACAAATGCTGTGTTTACATTAAACAATGCAATCTGCCAGCGTGTTAACCAGGTCCCCACAAACTCACTGCTACAAAAAGCCCTTGTGCATGTTAAGTGAGTTCTAGAGCGAAGGTAGTCGCACTAGGGTCGCACCTACTCTTCACTTGAGATGTTGGGGCAGGGGTCAAAAATAAGTACAATCCTTCTAGATCCAGGACAGTTAGGAGGTATTAAATAAAAACAAAAATAAAGGGTGTCTCTGACAGAATGTCCTCCATTTTCCTTCATATCATGGTGCAATAGTATGAGTGTTTATATAGTATTTAGAAGGCATGTGGATACATCAGATCAGAATGGGAGCCAGGCCGCAGCCCCCTCTGATTAATAGGAACGATGTGGGTGACTTAACTATTTCTTTCAGTATAACCCATAATGTGCTGGTTATGTGCTGTGAACACGGGGCAAATGGAGCACTTGTTCTGTAAATTTGCATTCAATAAAAATTCCTAAATCTCCCTCTAAATGGGCATTATTGTTGGACACTGAGTATTCAATAAACTTCCTAAACACTGTGCATAATTCTAATTATTATTATTATTTTTTAAATATTTTTTTTGCAGACAACTATTTATCACTAAACAGTTAGTTGGGCTGAGCTGCCAATTGGTTTGTAAAATACAGGCCACAAAAGCCAATCTGTCTGAAAAGTCATCAGTTCATCCTAGCTATCCCAGCCTAAATTTTGTTGGTTTACAACTCACAACAGCTCACTGTTTAGAGAGTAAACTTTAGCCACCTGCAAGCAAAGTAATGAGTATTGGCAAAAAGTAACCCAATTAGGAGTTTGAATATCCTGCAAAGTGTCTGCTCTTCATATAAATACTGACTCGTTAACAAGCCTAACTAAAACAAGTCAGGAGTGTGAGAAGCAGCTTTGGTTATCTACAGGATGTTGCAATACATTATATAAGGAGGAAACATTGTTTGGACGAGCTCACAAAAACACCAATAAAAAAAAACCAAATAAATAGAATATTAAAGTGGGAATGTTTGTCTACCAACAAAAAACCCAAAGATGTTTGGCGTATGTGGGGAAAGATTTCAAAGGGAACGTAGTGAGAAATAAAGACACAATGTCTCATGTTTTCCTCATTCCAGTCATCAGTGACAATATGGAGATTTCTGGGAGGAAGAGTTATTTATCTAGTCATCAAATGAGCTCTGCGGTCAGGTGTGAACACAATGGTGTCATCTTTCTCATAAACATTCCAGTGAATTTCATAAGTATCTGGTTTCAAGTTCATTGAAAGGTGTAGCATAGTGTGAGTGTGGACCAGACAACAACCAACGCCTGCAGCGATGGGTAAACTGCGCAAACTACTATATTAAAGGATCACTATAGGGTCACGAACACAAACATGTATTCCTGACCCTATTGTGTTAAACCCACCATTTAGATGACTTGACCCCACTTAGCCCCCCTATAAAAGTTTAAAACTCACCTTATTTCCAGCACCGCGTGGGTCCGCCCCTTTGTGACAACATCAAAATGGGCAATTTTTATCTAAAATCGGCACTGGGGCAGGACCAAATGCCGTTTTGGGCAATCAGGACCTCCTCATAGAGATGCATAGAATCAATGCATCTCTATGAGGAAAATTCAGCGTCTCTATGCAGAGCGTGGGGACGCTGAACGGCAGGGCTGCTTACTGTGCAGCCCTGAGCCAGGAAGCACCTACAGTGGCCATCTAAGGTGTGGCCACTTGGAGGTGTCCCTACGGGCTATGTAAACACTGCCTTTTATCTGAAAAAAGGGAGCTATTATACTCACCAGAACAATTACATTAAGCTATAGTTGTTCTGGTGACTATAGTGTCCCTTTAATGTATCACAGCATCAAATCTTCAAATGTATTAAGATCATCCTCCAATTAAATAAATTCACAATTTATCTCAATACATTTGAAAACCCATTTTGGACTCGGAATTTAAACACATGTGACCGATTACCCCATGACTATGTGAGTCTGTTTTGTGTTCTCAGGTAGCATAGTGAATATGAGAATTGTTATGGGGGGGGTGGCCGGGGGCTGTTTTGAGGCATTTTAGGTGATTTAGAAATAATAATTTCTACAAATGAAATGCAAATTAGAACAAGACCAATGTATCGTTTTCATATGGACTGATTTCTAAACACATTTATTGTAATTTAACCCCTTAAGGACCAATGACGGTTCAGGACCGTCATCAGAAACATGCCCTTGAGGACTGATGACGGTCCTGAACCATCATAATTACTTCCCCGATTGCCGCCGTTCCCCGGCCAGCGATCGGCGTTGCTCCGGTTCTGGGAGGACTGCCTGACTGCCCAGACAGTCCCCCCTCGGCAAATTAGGCCCTCACGGGCCATGTGATCACTCTAACAGAGCGGTCACATGGCCGCAATAGGTGTCCAAGTATCTGCCTGCTGCTAGAAAATGAAAATAAAAATATGTTAATAAATTTAAAAAAAATATATATATAATATATGTATATATGAGATATATTTGCATATATCATATCTATATATAATGTGTATATATCTTGTATATATAATGTCATACTAAGTGTATTTTTATATTAATATATGTATATATTAATGTAAAACTACAAGTATAATTAAATTACACATGTATATATATATTATTATAAAATATAAGTAAGTAAATACAAATAAATAAAAAAATCTAAAAATAATAAAGAAAAAACAAACTATATATATGTAATTTTAGTCTAACTGTATTTTGATATTAATATATATATATTTATATCAAAATACACTTAGAATGAAATTATATATATATCTATGTATAAATAAATAAAAATAATACGAAATATACATATGTCCATATACATAATTACATAAATAATTTCATAAATATACACATAGACTTCAAATATATAAATGTGTATATATATTTAAATTCTTCATGCGTATTTATGTAATATTTTTACATTATCAGGTCATTTTATTGATTGCAATTTGAGGGACCTGCCTGACAACCCAGGCCGAAAGTCCAGAGAATTTAATTTGCTAGCACTGTATTTTACCCTGTAACGTTCTACGACACCCTAAAACCTGTACATGGGGGGTACTGTTTTACTTTGGAGACTTCGCTGAACACAAATATTAGCGATGATATTGTCAGTGAAAGTGACATTTTTTGCATTTTTCACACACAAACGGCGCTTTCACTGATGATATCATTGTTGTGATCATTGTGATCATTGTTTGTTTTCAATTTTTCACCATATTTTATTTTATTTTATTTATTTTTTTAAGTGAATTATATGACATGATACAAATAATGGTATTTAAAAAAAGCCCTTCTTGTCCTGAAAAAAACTATATATAATTTAACACAAAAGTGTTAAAACAGCTCTGGTCCTTAACGTACAACATGGCTCAAACAGTCCGGTCCTGAAGGGGTTAAAGACACATTACTGTAGTATTATTGTTGTGGAGCTCAGTTATACACCCAAACACAATATGGAGCTCCTACAACAGAGGGATTTATGACTGTTATGGACTGTCCCTGCTAAATAGGGACATCTGAGAGGAATGCAATCTATATACAATAATTTTGATGATAATTATGATTATAATAAGTTATAAGTTTGATGGTAATTATGCCTAATTAATGGGACAATAGGGGGTAATGTAAAGTCCATCAAGTCCTAATTAAAGGATAGTAATAGACATTATATGCACACTATGGCACACTAGGCTGTAATTCAAACTACAATATAGATAAAACAAAGTTAAGTATAGAATACTGAATTCTAATTAAAGGTACAGTACAGCCACAGCCCTTAGGTCTTCATATTCAAAACAAACCTTAATCAAAGGGACAGTAATGACACTTACATATCATACTAAGCTCTAAAAAAGTCAGTATGATCATAGTAAGACAGAAATTAATAATAGGCAGTGTAATCACCATGTATAAAGGACTTTGAGTCAATGGGACTCAATGATGGCTGAGGCTATTCATAAAACTTGGAATTACAGAGACTTAACAAGGGTAGTGCAAATTTTAGACCATGAAATCCAATTACAACAACTAGCTGAATGTATCCTGCTCAACAATTTTGGCTTATATCCGGCCAATTTTCTACTCTTCACAGGTTGGTGAATAAGGGTGACAGATCACCCACATCCTCACAGTTTACATGAAATGTGAACAGAACATCAGATCAGTGGTTACCAATCTGATTAGGCTGAGTTTTCCAAGTCCCACTAATATTCCTTACACCAGGGATTGCCAGCTTTTCTTAAACTACAAATCCCATGATCCTCTACTTGCCAGAGTTCTGCCAGAGGGTTAAGGCAGTTTCTGTTCATCTGCAGATTAGCTAGCTACCTGTTTTCTGATGTTAGCTAAACACAGCGAGGTCTGACAATAGGATGGCAGCACCAAACGTTGCGTCCAATGTCAGGGTTGGCATATCATTTTTACTAAAGCCATCTGAATAAACAATTCTCATTATGAGTTTCACACAAGCTGTATGAGCCTACAGTTTCTCCTCGGCTGTCTTCTTGTATTGGTGACGCACAGATGTCGCAATTGCGCCAAAGAACGTCCGCCATATGCAAAGTCTGCTGCTTCCTGTACTTCTACGCGGTCAACGGAGAAAAGCAGTTAAGATTTGACGACATCTGCCTTTCTCACATTGCTTGAGCAGGAAATGAGAGAAAGGGCTTTCAGCAATAAAACAGCAGAGAGCAAATATCAGAGCATCCTCACACAGGCTTTGTGCATGATAACAGGGTCTAAAAACCACTTTAAATAGAGACGCAGGGTCTCCTGTGGTTTAGGAAACAGGAAATACATGCAATGCAAAAGTACAAGCTGAGTCTAAATACAAGCTCTGTATCGAGGTCCATTATCTGGCGTCTGTGGACTGGTTATCTCTGACACAGCAGGGGTCAGGGACTGCAACTCTCATCATGGTCAGCAAGTCCCATCTCTGTCTTACTGGCTAAAATGTTAAGTGTTTCAGTCCATAGCCTTTAAATTGCTGGATGAAAAGTGATTTTGAAACAAAACAAAACACTGACTGAGACACAGAATGTGATGAGTAAAAGTGTGAAACGTGGAATTTGCAACACAGAAAAGGTCTGTGGCTATATATAAAACATTTACCACCACTAACATGCACCGTCTTGTCAGCCTCACCAAAATAGAAAAGCAATATAGTTATTGTTCAGTATTTTTGTTGCAAACAATGCCTAGAAGGAGTAGAAGTGTGACTGGCCCTTTAAATGTGAACTGTTGGGAATACTAAGTTACTAAGTATATTTTTAATTTCTGCCCTAATAGCCGAATTTGAAAAATTCTTCAATTCAGCTATAATTTCAGCTCACACTTTATTTGGTCTAAAATTTTAAATTCAATATCAAGATTAAACGCAATATTATTTACATTTAAAAAAATAACTGTTACCAGATTTTATTATTTTTATTATTATAAGAATTCTTGCAGCATTATAAGTATGTGTAAAAATAACTGAAAATCTGGCCCCTACTTTCACGGAACACAGACATCCCTCTGCCATATTCAGACACTTTTGGGCGGACTGAGGTAGAATCCGACCATTACGCTCCTGCTTCACTCCCTGCACGGAGCAATGATTTCATCAGCAATCGCCCTGTGTGCTCAGCCTGCTCCGAATTCTGACTGAATTCCGACCACATTGGCAATTCTCCTCTTTACTACAGCCAAATGCGGTCAGAATTTGCAGATTAGCGGCCCAACCAATTCTTAAACAGTCGGATTCTACCTCAGTCTGACCGAAGGTGTATGAAGATTGCAGAAGGAGCACGTGTTCTGTGAAAGTAGGGACCAGATATTCAGGTATTTATTTTTTCATATGCTTCATTTTAAATAAATTTTATCTTTTCATTACATTCTGCAAGGATTCTTATAATAAAAAAATACCACAATCTGATGACAGTTATTCTTTATCTCTGCACTGTTTAGTTACATTCTGATATCATACGGTTTAATATTGAATAGCCTACAAGATTTCATGGTGAAAAGTACCGACAAAAGATAATTTTTTATTATAGTAATCAAATACACAGTCACAGTGATTTATTACCAATTTATTTACTTATAGGTCGAATGGCAAGTTATTTACCTGTATATGTATTACGCATACTAAAAAGTGAATCAAATTAAAACAATCCCATTTATTCGGGAATAAAGAAATCTACTAAATAACTTGGCGAATTGGCTGTTACTCACACATCAGAAACAATGTTCTAGACTGCAAACCCTTTAATCACCATTAAAAAAACACACGTACATCAGTGTCAATGTCACTAATATTTAAATACACTTTTCTCTCTTTGTTTTACTGAACAGAACCTTGAAATATCATTTTTAGGGAGAGGGGAGGGTGGATAAGCGATCTGCAAGTAATGGTTGCTTTTGCCAAAACTCAAAGGAGAACATTTACTTGTAGATCACTATTTGTTTGACCCTCTGGGACCCAACTGCGGCGACAGCCATTCCTCACCTTAAAAATATTAATCTAATTCTCAATTTCATACTTTCACCACAGAAATTTGATTTTCCAAATTCAAAGAACTGCAAGATTCCAATCCAACGTAAATAAAGATGCAGACAATCTGACTTGATTGCTTACAGCAAAGCTTAACCTGTGTGGTCCTTATGTGCTTGCTGACACCTCAGGGAAATATAAAACTATATTTAAAAAAAGACTATTCTTGTTTTAGAGTATAAATGTGTGGGGTGGGATGAAGAGGAATGCTCAGAAAGATTATCACCTGTCACTTTAAATATGTCATCGCCTCAAATACAAGCATAGCCAGGCTGAGCTATACATATAAGGTACACAGAATTAGGAGAGAGCAATGGGTAATGTCTGCATTACTTTGTTAAGGACTTATAAAAAGAAATAGGAGTTATAAAATAAGCTGGACCAACCAAGATTCACATTTATAAAATCTACAGCTGATGAGGACATGGCTTACCGTATAGGATAATGGGAATCCTTGGGGCTGACATACAAATCATTTATTTTTATAGCACTAAATTTAAGCCACTTGGACTTTAATTTGCCTAGTTTCCCTATACATAAAGATAAGCCATTATCTTAGGATGGTTTATTAGAGTAGGACCAGTTTGTCTTGCTTAAAGGACCACTATAGTGCCAGGAAAACATACTTGTTTTCCTGGCACTATAGTGCCCTGAGGGTGCCCCCACCCTCAGGGTCCCCCTCCCGCCCGGCTCTGGAAAGGGGAAAGGGGTTAAAACTTACCTTTTTCCAGTGCTGGGCGGAGAGCTCTCCTCCTCCGATCCTCCTCTTCTCCTCCCCGTTGGCTGAATGCGCACGCGCGGCAAGAGCTGCGCGCGCATTCAGCCGGTCACATAGAAAAGCATTCATAATGCTTTCCTATGGACGCTGGCGTGCTCTCACTGTGAAAATCACAGTGAGAAGCACGCAAGCGCCTCTAGTAGCTGTCAATGAGACAGCCACTAGAGGATTAGGGGGAAGGCTTAACCCATTCATAAACATAGCAGTTTCTCTGAAACTGCTATGTTTATGAAAAAATGGGTTAATCCTAGCTGGACCTGGCACCCAGACCACTTCATTAAGCTGAAGTGGTCTGGGTGCCTAGAGTGGTCCTTTAATACAATCTTTACCCATATGAAATAGAGCTGCTAAACATGCTGGCATTTTATAATAAATTATAATTATATAATTTTTAACTTCATAAAAGTGATACAGCAAAAAGATGCAAAATATTGCTGTAAAGGAGATATAAAATGATGGTATAAAATATAAGAGAACGAGAGTGTATGTGCGTGTTTTGTGTGTGTGTTTTTTGTTTTTTTTTAAACCAAACACGACGTTGTCAACTATGTTGTCGTTCTTCATCTTCTCCCAATGGAAGCAGAACCAAAATAAAAGTAAAAAAACCCCTAAAGAGTGACTAACTGGGGGGGAGGGCCTATATTTAACTATGGACAAGGTGACTAAAGTGCTAGGATTACAGATATGCTTACGTAATGCTTTTAATTTTTAAAAGTGCCAATTTTTATTGAAATTTTCACTTTTGTAAAATGAAAAAAAGAGGACACACTCTTCAACCATAAACACTTTAGCAAGCTTATTCGCTTTAGATGTTTGGAGTGTTCCTTCAAGAAACAATGTCTCCATAGACCTTTTCTATGGGTTCTCGGCTACACTCAAGGAACATGTCCAATTAGGAATATCGCTGTGGACGTCCATTCTGATGTCTCTTGGCAACCCTCATCAGACCAAGACTTTCCCAGTATGTATTGTGGTTGCTTGGCTGTTGGAAGTCTATTAGGAGGATTTCGTTGATTTCCCTTTGACATCTGATCTGTGGCTACAAATTGAGTAGGAAGCCAATGCAAGGAAGGAGATAAGTGCCTTACAAAATTTACCAAAAGTAGAAGCACTGCATGACCAATAATAAAAGGAAACCCAAAGGACAGCTGAAGGCACCCAGAACACTTCATCTCAATGAAGTGGTTTGGAGGCAGTGGACTTTCAGTTTTAACCCATTGCCGTTTAGTACATAGAGGAATGTTTACATTGCAGGGTTAGATACGCCTCGAGTGGCTGTCTACCTGACAGCCAAGAGGTACTTCCACTGTGAGAGCCGAGTCAACCGAGTTCTGACAGCTAACCTCCAATATGAGCATGGCGTTGCATGCATTTTTTTTTACCCCAGTGCTCCTTATATAGGGAGTATTGGATTGGACATTTAGATGCATCAGAATGATGTCGAGGGAGGTCGATCAAGTGGTGCTTTAAATTTTTTTTAACCAAAACATTTTTCTTTCCAATTTTTATTTATATTTAAGGGTGGCCTGAATCTAAATAAAGAGGAGAACACTACGGTGTTCAGAATACAGGGTTCTGTTACTGAATAATGTCTCAACATATAGTGCTTGTATTAGAACTAAAAGTTAATATCCACTACGGGTTTGCAAAGTTTTAGCAATGTGTTTATCTGTCAAAATGGACTGGTTGTAAAATAATTTATAAACCACTGTATTATTATAAAATATCACTCTTTGGGAGTAACAACAGAAGTCACCTCAATAGAATATAAGCCCCACTGTATTGGTCTGATATTGTTCAATTGCAATGGTTTATTATACTCGTGGTCACTGAAAGGTTAACACAATCCTCTGCCTGTAGGCATACGAAATATAATGGCAGAAAAGAAAATAGACTGCGAGCACAGCAAGGATCCCAGATGACTTAATTTTGCCATGTGTATATGGATAGCCAGGTCTGCCATGCTGCTTGCAACTAATGGAATGTGTAAACAGCCTGTGTATCCGTGCATCAATTCCTCGGAAGGTTGCACAATACGAATGCCTCTGAATGTGTCATTTCCTGCTTGGCGACCTGCCCAGCTCCTGACATACACAGAGTGATCTGAGAATGAAACGACTGCTTCTCAGAGTTCGTTCCACCAACTCCTCATACACATCCAGGCCATTCCCCATCCCAGGGTAAGTCAGTGATTCTAGAAAACTACATTAAAATGGTACAAAGCTCCCAGAAAAAAAGTTATTCTCAATAAACAAAGAAACATCTACTAATTGTAAAGCCTTTACTAGATCCCAGGGATTCACTCCAAAGTGATATTATTTGGGTAACAACCTGACAATTGTCACCCATTGTAGGTCAACTGAGGTCCAACTGGAAGGGATGCACTAAGTCTAAACACAACTTTGTGACATTTAAAGAAAACCATTTGGTCAACTGATGTATGCAGCTGGACTTAACAGGAAACCCTTTGTTCTTCTGCACTGCTGAGTCCAGGGTCCGTGTCAGTGGTGGTCACCTTACCTGACCTCTGAATGCTGTGTGAACCACACATCAGGTTGTGGATTTCCTGAACGTTTACATAGAAACTCAGGTCAAGCACACCCCATATTTGAAATTTAAGTATTTTTTTCCCCGCCATGCTTATACATTTTCTTCGTAACTTAGAATGACTGGAAACAGATGAACATCAAAGATACATAACTGTGTGTATCTTTCTAATGAGGAAGGTCCAGGGACAAAAGATCATCTCTGGTGTTCCTACACAAAAATATTCCTCGGACACATCCCCTATATATTCAATGGACAGATTGAGGAGATATTGTTGTAAAACAAAAGAACATTTGGTTCCATTATATTAATTCTGAAAACCACATAAATAAAGATAGAAAAATATGAGCGTAGTTTAATCCTAACCTAATCTATGTATACATTGCTAGATATATACCTTTAACCCCTTAAGGACACATGACATGTGTGACATGTCATGATTCCCTTTTATTCCTGAAGTTTGGTCCTTAAGGGGTTAAAGTGTATATCTAGGTATTTTTTTATTTCCTAATGCTTGCTTTGCGGGTATGTCTCCCCCCCAACCTAGCCTGTGTGTCCAGCCCTTGAGTTATTTGGGGCTGGTGGAAGTGCATGTGCTTTTTTGCATCACGTTATCCTGTGATATTGGATACATAAATGTGTATTTCTGGCAGTATACTTCCCTTTGGCTTCTATCTCCCTCACGCCCCTCTACCCAGCTTCAACTCAGACGTCACCTCATGGGGGCACTGAGGCGCATGCACGGCGAATGCCGCAAGCGTGCTTGGTCCTCCCCATAGGAAAGCATGCAGATCGTGAGGACGTCCAGCACCAGTTAGGCAACCAAAGTCACCTAGCAAGCAGGAAGCGCCTCTAGTGGCTGTGTGAACAGTAGTGAATGGTGGAGTGTACTGGAGCATCATGTGCCTCTTTAACACATTTCAAAGCAACACTCCAAGCACCATAACCACAACAGCGCCCTGGAACCCTCCTGGGATAAGTAGCCAAACCATTTGTTTGACAACTTACCTGGGGTCTGTCGGGTGCCGTCACGGGTAATTTTTAGAGAGCTATTGTGTCGTATTAAGGTCTCAGTTGTGACAGTTCTGCTTGAATCATTCCATTTAGTTTACATATGAAATCAGTAAGCTGACAATAAAGTCAATTACACATTTAAAACACTAGAAAAACCGCAGACTCTGTTGACCCATTTTAGCCGCGGTAATTATTGCTAATCCACTAAATCAATTATTTCCACTATTTTCCAATTATATAATTATTATCCATGTGTCACTTTTAAAGTGAATTTATGCATGACGCTAATATAAACTGCTCAACCCAAGCCTCCCGGGACAAGAGGAAGTACAAGCCCAGTCCTAAAATTATAACATGACATCACCAATGCAACTGGATCTAAGGGGATTAGTAACTAAAAATACTTAGAGTTAGTTGGAAACACACAAATTAAAACTAAAATAGCAGTTTTTAGATTTTCCCCTAGATTTGGATGTTTTAACCTAAATATTCTGAGTGATTTCTTAACTCACTGCTTACCTAACAAGGCCTTATAACATGATATTCAGGTTGTTTCGTAAGAATTTACACAATTTTTTAGTTCTTTAACATTTAATTCTTACTTTTAAATGATGGTTCACTCATGACTCCCGTGTTGTCTTAAAGAGACACTCCAGGCACCCAGACCACTCCAGTGGGCAGAAGTGGTCTGGAGTGCTAACTCCCACTACCCTTAACCCTGAAAGTGTAATTATTGCAGTTTTTATAAACTGCAATAATTACCTTGCAGGGTTAAGTCCTCCTCTAGTGGCTGTCTATCAGACAGCCACTAGAGGGGCTTCTGTGTACTTAGAACATGAAAAGTGTTTTAAACAACACTGGACGTTCTCACGCTATGCATGAGGACCTCCAGCATCGCCGGAATCCCCATAGGAAAGCATTGCCACACATGCGCATTAGGTCTCCCCCGCCGGCTCACGTCGGCGGGGGAGGAACGTGGGTGGAGATTGATCCAGCACCGAGAGACATCGGTGCTGGATTCAGGCAAGTCACTGAAGGAGTTTTAACCCCTTCAGCAACATGGGATGGAGGCTGGGCCAGAGAGGGGCACTGCAGGGTATGTTTTCCTGGCAGTGTAGAATCCCTTTAACCCATAGAGATCTTTCTATTGGTTACAACCACTGCTTGATATATCTGCTTCCCTGGCAGATAGCTTCAGACTTGCTTTGTGTTGAGATGGCGGCCGGCCACTGACGCATCTGGGCCAAGATACATGGCTACATCTGCAGTGTAGCCAATCAGGGCTGCGCATGCACTTGGACATGGATGTACTTGCTCCAGTTATTCATCACCGTATGACAGAGCTGCTCTGTTGAGTGATCGTAAGGACTGTTAACATTTTCACATGAAGAGTCTGTGGCTTTCCAAATTTTATTCAGACCTTCTGCATTTTGAATCTGGGTTCCACGTGAATCCATGTTGATGTCTACTCTTGTGAACAGGTCCACCCCTTTTGTATCCTTGTTTATTCAGGAAGTACAAGGACTTCAAGAGAATAGAAATGAAAAGTTCTCCTACAAGCATGTTCTCATGTATTATATCCTCAGATTCCTGCTTTATGTCTTAAGCGTGACATCTCTGTTGTGGTTAATCACCAGTTTTATCTTACACTTTATCTGCTGTACTGTCTTTCCTTTTTTTAGGCAAGATGTTGCAGTTTTTTTAAATCTACACACAGTTTCACAAACGGCACTATTTTATTCTTTTCACTTTTGACTTTTATGACTTGATATAATAGTTATTGGAAATTGTTCAAATGAACAATGAAAGAAAAATACTTTGCATAATATAATAGATTTCCAATACATGATAAATCACATATTTGTTATGATAATATATGTTGATGGCCCTGGGACCATACAGAGAGTGCTTCAGTGAGGTTGTCAATCAGCTTGGCATCCATTAACTCCAATCACAACCTCCATTTTGGGCATTGCCGATGATACAAGGGGTATTAGTGACACACACCTAAAGGCTTGCCCTCACCCCCTGTTCTGGTTTCATACCTCCCAATGCTGGAAGTATTTACAAAACCCATGATTGATGAGAATTACCCAGAGAATTTGAAATTTAGCCCAAAATAGTTGAGCATGATAAATAACTAAGTTGAAAATGTTTAACGTTTCACAGATTTAATGAATAACCCAGTCTGTCTCTGATCCAGTCAGTTGAAATAAATTAATTTAGTAACTTACATTACATTTTCCAGACTAGACACGCAAAATGAATAGAGTTCCAAAAATATAATTCAATACATCTCACTTTTTGTTTAAATTCTATGTTTACACAGTATGGAGTGTCTATATTACTAGAATGTATTATTGAGTATTCACTATTCACCCAAATGGTGAACAGATTTTTAAAAATTTTAGATAAAAAGTGTCAGCAGTTGAAAAAAAATCTAAATTAAATCAGTGTTTTTTTGCTCATCCAGTGAATATTCCCAAAATATATTTGATTTTTACTTTAATTTTGAGGGACCCAAAACTGTGAACATGAATTTGTCTGTATGTGTATATAAATGGACTTTGCCAAGAGTGGACTACGACATTCTATTTCTCCATCAATACGATTCTTTGCTTTTGGCTGGGGAAAAACTAAATTCAGAGGAGCATGCAAAATTTCGCAAGCATGAGTTTGGAAAATAAATAATAGCGTGAGAATAAGCCTAAATTCTTTTTCTTAGCACTCTGTAAACTCACCTGCAATAAACTAAAAAGGAACAAAATCTATGCCAGGCTTGTGGAAAATCGGTATCATCCCAATTTATAATTCTGCTATGAAATGTTACCATTGTCAGAGAATTTTAAAAATGAAACCGTGCTCCTTAAGATTATGTAAAACATTCCGTGACTTAAATAATAAATTATGGTCCAATGGATTGGGCCGTGTCTCCCTCCTGGTTATATGGAGGTCCAGCTCTTGAATAGTTTGAGATGGTTTTACTTGACTTATTTAAAGATGCCATATGTTTAACCAATGCCTAACTACAATCATCTAATTGCACAGGAAAATGTTGAAAAGCTATGATAAAGGCTTTAATTAGTCAATCAACCAACCTCAACATACTTGTGACATATTTAACCCCTTAAGGACCAAACTTCTGGAATAAAAGGAAATCATGACATGTCACACATGTCATGTGTCCTTAAGGGGTTAAAATCTAACCTGATATCTGCTCTTTTAAAAAAGGTGATTTTATGAGAATAAAAATAGGATATTTTTTAATAAAAAATTTGCTGGAGTTCAAATAATGTTCTTAAAATTTGAAAATGCCGCAAAAACGGTTTTATAATTTTATCGATGAAACCAAACATAGAATTTTAAAAACTAACCACACAAAAGGATACTTTTTCTTTGCTGTTTACTTGAGGTCATAGCAAAATGAACAGATGTTTTATATATATTTCTACAGTGTCCAGCGACGGGGAAATACCCACTTGAGATTTTCATCTGAGTTTTTTAGTGCATACTCAGTCTAGATTTATAGTTAAGCATGTTAAATATAAATTTGGAATGAAAAGTTTCAGTCAGGGACTGCCCTACACATTTACTGGGTGGCCTATACATGCCAACCTCTTTGATTAATATCTCAAAAAAACAATAAAGTCCATGACAGTTTCAAGCATGTACAGCTGTGTTGAAAAACCCAAGAGAGTCATTCCTCACATATTTAAAGGGACATTACAGGCACTAAAACAACTACAGCTTAATTTGGCAGTTTTGGTGTACAGATCATACCCTGCAATCGCGCTGCTCAAATCTCTGCCTTTTAAGAATTAAGTGGGTTTATGGAAAATATTATAAAAAACTGCCGATTTAAAAAACCACAGGTAACGAGGTTTGCACGTTGTCAAATATTAAAAAATATAATAATATTAAATTGAAGTGACAGGACAAATTTAACCCTTGGAAATCCACTCAGATAACAATATCCCACCAGCTTACCCCCCCCCCCCACCACAGATAATACTGATGGATAGAGAGGAAGTTTGTACTCACGTCTTGGTTCTCTGGGTCCGTCCACCGTCACCTTTATGGCTCTGTGGTAAGTGGCAACTTGAGGTGGGTTTGTGAAAACCGTTATTGTCAACGTAAAGCTCTTTCCTGCAAATGGGATGACAAAAAGTCCTGTGTGAGCCAGGTAGCCTGCTGAGTGATAATGTAATTGTTAATAACCTGATAAAGTATAGAAAACTAAATGTGGAAAGTCAGATCTGTGTTAATTGCGTACCCTGCTGCCACTTACCTCATATCTATATTTATATATATATATAATAAACTAAAAAAGGGGTGCACTCCAAGGTCTTCAAATCCAAAAATTCTGTGTCTGATAAAGTTCTAAATCAAAACATTGCTATCTGTGGGGGGAAAAATTGACGTTTCTACCTGTTTGGGTCTTTATCATGATCTTGATAAAGACTCGAACTGGTAGAAACGTTGATTTTTTTATTTCCAGATGACAATGTTTTCATTTAGAACTTTATCAAAAACACAGAATTTTTGGGATTTGAAAACCTTAGAGTGCACCCTTTTTTTGGTTTATTATATGCACAACATGGGTTTGCACCCAGGCAGGATGATGATTTATGTATATTAGTCTGAGGAGTGCCAGGCTTAGTTGTATATATATATATATAGAGAGAGAGAGAGAGAGAGAGAGAGAGAGCTTCTTTTTGTATTTTAAGGTTCTCTGATCATCACAAGTTGTGGTTCACAAACATCTAGGATTCAAAATTAGCCACTTGGCACTAAGTTATCCCATTATCAAGTCTGTGTGTGTATTCTCCGCCGCCCTCCCCCCCCCTCGCCCCCCCATTTTTTTTTTACATTAGACTATGTAACACGTCCCTTGTAAGTTTGTTATAAAAAGATCCCAAAAATACTTTATTATGGGTGGCATATTAATAAAACTTGTAACATCAGTCATCAAAAATAGTTATCCAGCTGACTGATCTGTGTTACTACTGCTAAGCTCGGAACATGCGTGCTGAATGGTTTAAGTGCAAACCCCTTATTTTCTGGACAGGATTCGACTATTTACCAGTTGCTGTTTAGTAGATGAATTAAATTAGCTTTCATTAAAAAGAGTGCCATGTAGTACAACCAGACGTCCTTACAGTGTTGTGTTCCCCAAACTTTGTCAACACTGTCGATTTGCAACCCCCATCACTTTCAGCCTTAATTACGGGATTTACCGTTTACAGCATCTCGAATGCGTATAAAATCTAAACGTAAAATTCCTCTAAACATAAGTAGGTCCCTTTATCCAAAACTTTGTATTACAACAGTGCGCCATTTCACTGCTACTCAGACAGACAATGGAAAGCTGTGACATCAAACTGAGACATATTGAGCGCACACTGTTAGAAGACAGACAGACAGATAGGCAAACAGACAGAGACATAGGCAGACAGTTAGATAGACAAACAGGAAAACCAAAAAATTAACTTGCTAGATAAGCCCTGTGTTTTTATCTATTTTCAGAATGTTTGTATGTTTGCTGAGAGGGAATTCTGGCACAGCACGCATGCGCAGCCATAGCTGGGACGCAGCAAGGCTTTTTCACATCTCCTCCCCAGCGCTGAGTCCATATAATACAGCATTACTACTGCTGTGAATGGACCGTCATTAACCGTGAATGTCCCCGCTGTCTCTTCAGAGACGGCCAGCAAGAGACACCAATCTGGGTACAGGTTCCAGACTTCCAGCGCTGCAGGGTTTACACATGTGAGGGAATTTCTCCCCACGGCGAGAGACGCAGAATGCTGACCAGGCTTCTGCAGACTCACTGACAGTTGTAATCAGTTAGATATGTGATGCTTATTCTTGTCATTCAGTTCTGCAAACTGTTTAAAGACAGGAAGATGTGGGCGGGAGGCAGTGACTCAATAAACAGCCAGGAGTCTCGAAGCCCGACTGATCTGTGAAGATGCTTCTGTTCTTGGTTAAAGGATCAGATGGCCTGCCAGGGTCTCACTTGCTGCTAGGCCTCTAAAATACAAAGATTTCTTCTAGTCTGTCAGCGGTTTAACACAGCTTTTTCCTCAATGGAGACAGAGAGAGGGGGAGAGAAATAGGGAGATGGAGGGAGAGAGAGATTGTTGTACAGAGACAGACGGGAAAAGATATACAGATATAGAGAGAGGGGGATTGATGGATTTGGTTCAGAGAGAGATTAACAAGATGGAGAGACACTGGGGTTCAGAGACGGAGAGAAAGATTAACAAAATGGAGAGACACTGGGGTTCAGAGACAGAGAAAGAGATTAACGAAACGGAGAGACACTGGGGTTCAGAGACAGAGAGAAATTAACAAAATGGAGAGACACTGGGGTTCAGAGAGAGAGAGATACGAGATGAGAGACACTGGGGTACAGAGACAGAGAGAGAGATTTACAAGATGGAGAGACACTGGGGTTCAGAGACAGAGAGAGAGATTAACAAAATGGAGAGACACTGGGGTTCAGAGACAGAGAGAAATTAACGAAACGGAGAGACACTGGGGTTCAGAGACAGAGAGAAATTAACAAAATGGAGAGTCACTGGGGTTCAGAGAGAGAGAGAGAGAGAGATTAACGAGATTAGAGACACTGGGGTACAGAGACAGAGAGAGAGATTTACAAGATGGAGAGACACTGGGGTTCAGAGACAGAGAGAGAGATTGACAATATGTAGAGACAGTGGGGTTCAGAGACAGACAGAGAGATTAACAAAATTGAGAGACACTGGGGTTCAGAGACAGAGAGAGAGATTAATGAGATGAAGAGACACTGGGGTTCAGAGACAGATAGAGATTTAGAGATTAACGAGACGGAGAGACACTGGGGTTCAGAGACAGAGAGAGGTTAATGAGACGGACAGACACTGGGGTTCAGAGACAGATAGAGATTAACAAAATGGAGAGACACTGGGGTTCAGAGACAGATAGAGATTAACGAGACGGAGAGACACCGGGGTTCAGAGACAGAGAGAGATTAATGAAACGGAGAGACACTGGAGTTCAGAAACAGATAGAGATTAACGAGATGGAGAGACACTGGGATTCAGAGACAGAGAGAGATTAATGAGATGGAGAGAAACTGAGGTTGTGAGACAGAGAAGGTGGGAGGCAGATAAAGAGATGAATATGATAGATTGAGGTAGACAGAAAGAGGTATAGAGTGATACAAGGATGGAGGAAGACGACAGACAGAGCGAGAGGAAGAGAGACAGTTGGAAGATAGGAACGGCACTTAAACCATCAAGTTTCCTTCATCACTAAAGCAGTCAAACGTAGGGTTGAGTTATAGTAACAGTTAATCAATGCAACCATGAAAAAAATATTAATCACATATTGTGCGCTGAACAAATATGAATAACTATTAGACTTATTTTAATTGTTTATAAATATTACAATATTTTTGGCAAACAAGTATTTTTTGAGAACAAGATTTATACTGCAAGTATAAATTTTTATTATTTTTATGATGGCTCCCAGGTTAACAGAATGATGGGGAGTGAGGGTAAGGAGATTCAGCATCCATTTAATGTACACAGGCATGAGTCTTTAATGGCAAAGTCAACGCATCCCCGTATAACAGAGATTAAAGTGATCTACATCTCTGTGCCATCATGTGCCCTTTCTGGCTGGCATCTGATTTAATCCGAAATATTCAAACTCCTAAAGCACTTTAGCTTGTTTATGTGCCTTATGTATGAAGAGTGAGCTCTCTGGTTTGCCTGCTTTTTTTTTATTTTACAAAATGTTCAGATTTCAATGGAAATTTACACTTTTATAAATTAACGTGGTTACACGTCCCTGGCTGTCAGTCAGACAAGTGGTCCTGTTACTTCCTGGTTTAATTAGCTCAGTGGAGCTAAACTCAAAAGGTCTGCCTTGCAAAGACTTCTCATTGAGCTGCATTGGGAAGTCTGTGATTGGACAGCCACAGAAAGTCTGGGTGGGGTTAGAAAAGGGAGGTCTTGCAAAGGCTGCAGACAAGATATCTGCAGATTTTGCAAGCTGTGTTATGATATACTCCCAATTAAAAAATGAATAATTAAATGCATCCATTCTTTCACTTGGCATATATCTACTAAAGGTCTGATTTTTATTTTTATGTTTTTGGGTAGTGGAGTATCACTTTAAAAAAAATAGAACAACCCACCGCTAAATCTTAGCACTACAACTTCCGCTTGAATTCCACTTAAATGGTTTCTTAGCAGCAACATGCGCTGCAGGACACATCTATGAGAATTCTTCACACATACTCTGTCCAATACAAAGCATGCACCTTACTACCTTCAATCCCTATTTATCCTTTATCTATTATTTATAACGTGTCACATTTATTAGGAATTAGATGTTGCTTGGCTATGTGCTGGTTTTAATAATTCTGATAACATGCATATGACACCATGGGGGTGGAGGGGATTACAGATTATGAGACACAAGTACTAACAGGAAAATGAATATGTGTGTGTCTTTTAGCACTACACTTATCTCTGACCTTGCAGAGCAACATTATGGAGAAACTGCACTGTAAGAGATGTTAGCAGCCTTACTCCTACGAAACACGTAACAGTCTTTAAATTTCTTTACTAAACTGGAAATTGCAGAGATTAGGGGATTGCTCATTTTTAAAATTGCCAAACTAGAAAAATCACACAACTATACGGGAATGAACTAACTTGCCAACTCAGAATTCTTGATTCTGGCTATTATCAGCGTTTATAAAGCGCCAACATATTACACAGCGCTTTACAATTATGTTGGTCTGGAACTTTCAGGGGTCTTTGTGTATTTCACAAATACCCCCAAAAGTGACATAACCGGTGTGGATCCAGTGGCAGGAGGCTGCAGGGAAGGTAAGTTTTACTTACCTCAAGTATTACTTACCGTCATACTGTATGTCCTCATCAGCTCCTGGCGTTTTTAGTTACCAGGAGCCACATGCTGGAATTGGAGAAATATTGACGACGGAGCTCCGCCTTTTTGTCAATCTCAGGCTTGTCTATAAGACAAAGTAGTCCCTACTAAGTAGACAAATATGTCTTTATGAATTACTGAAAAGTGGCAGACCCGCTTTAGTGTGTTTGTGGGAAGTAATTACACTGCAACAAAAGTCAAACTCATCTTCAGATACATGGCTAGAGAGTTGTAATGCTTCTCCCTGTATATGTGAGTGCATTTGTTGCCATATCTCATTATGGTATCATGGTCTATAACATTACACTATGATTTATTTTTCCAGTTTTACATATTTTTTTATACCACCGCAAGACGTACTTAAAACCATGTAGACATTAGTTTATTCCACATGTTAAATTGTCCATGCTTTGCACATAATGACTAATATTTTTTTATTTTTTTTTTATCGTTAATCCCTGTGGCACCAATGACATATCAACAGTGCCAAAAAACAAAGAAATGCTTTACCTAACATTGATGGTGGTGAAATGTTTAACTGTCAGCAATGATTCCTATTCCCTTACCAAATCTTTAGAATGCTACTATAACCGTATTTTAAGGTTACGTCTTAACAAGAAAAAATGCAATGTAAATTTTTCACATTCCTTGGGGTTGTCACTAAATCGAGAATTAGAGAATTGGTAAAACAACTGCAGATTTTTGTCCAAAACGACCGAATTGGAAAAATTGGCAAATTTACCAAGTTTTTCCAGTTTAGCTTTTTTGATTTAAGTCTATTTTAAATTAAGCCTTTGCCGATTTTGCACAATCTCCATTTTGGTGAACGGAGTCATGTTCTTCTGATGGCTGAGAGTGTTTGGAGAAGACATTATCAGACAAGCACGCCGGCAGACCATGCCTCTCTGCGTGTATCTAGGAGGCTTTCCTCTTCTGCAATGTGAGATGGGAAATGAACTGATAGAAGGCAAGTATAGGCCAATATCTCAAGGCTGCCTCTGGCATCAGACGGAGGACAATCTCAAACTCCAGTCTGCTTCAAAGAGAAACAAAACTGTGTTTCCTCCGTTAAGATCATAAGAAACCGGAGGGGAGGGGTCAGTTCTGTTTGGACATAATTACCCACCATCAAAAGAGACTTTCTTCATCTCCCATGCGTGTAAAGCCTGCTAGCAGTTACGTCTGTCCCTTTTCCCTCCTTTTTAAATATTGAAATTGCTATTTGGGAAGCTGGCCAAAGCCGAGAGTCGATACAGTTAGATGGAGAACATCTTTTGTTTTTATTTTTGGCTCTAGAATAAATATGTTTAGGAGTTTCTTATAAAGAAGCAAGATTCCTCCATCCATGTTTTATGTCAATGGGTGGGAGATGAACACACAGCCCAGTTACATTAAGTTCAGGCAGAAGAAGAAAATGACAGTAAGACATTTAGTTAAATTATTAACCAAACTGGAAATTGTGAAGATTTCGACAACAAAAGTGAAAATTGCATGTCAAAACAAGCCAATTCTGAAATATCACAATTACCTGACAGTTCTCTGCAATACATAGTTTAGTCAGTAAACCACACACTTTATTTCTTGACAAGATAGCTATTTTCTTCACCGTAATTACCCTCAGACTCGGAAGGAACTCAGGATCAATGGGATGTAAATATACATTTATATATAATATGCAAAAACAATATGGTACTCTACTTTGAAAATGCATTCTTGAGAAATTGCCTCTATCCTAGTCCAGTACTAGATTAATCTGTTTTTTTTCAGAGTATTTTACTTACCATACGTGTTTACAAGCATAGCAACGTTTTGGCTCTGTAAGTAGAGCATTTGTAGTGCCCATTTATCACTACAACCCTTGCGCGTTAGATAGAAACGGCCTGAGGGCAAATTACCATATTTGCAACCCAATTGTCCCTGGGCACCAAGGCCACAAATACAATATTCACTGTGATAACAGGAAAGGCTTTTTGGGTAGTGGTGATGGTGAGAAATGGGTTGTACAAAGAGAATAATAGGCTGGGTATGTAACAATGTATCTGGACTATGGTAATAACTGAGCAGAATCAATGAAAAGCAGCCCGTTTTGGGTTTCTGCAATACCCCAATGAAATGGTGGTCTTCCCATGAGCTCAGCTCAGAACAAGTATCGAACTTCATCACCTGCCACTGGATTTTAACAACTATATATTTTTTTAGCTTTTGGCTGTCAGAGAATGATGGGAATTGACACCTGGCTTGGAATTGTAGCCATGATCGGGGACTCTATATACAGGGGAGTGTCGATCTTTAAATTCCCGTCCCGTGGGGGTGAGTTTTCAGTAAATGAGGTACATTTGTGTGGGATTGGAATTCACAGTTTGTTATTCATCAGTTCGCTGTGATAAAAAGCATTTGTTTCACTTACGTTGTCGTGTTTTATTATTTTTGTGACATCCTGTGCAAACTGTGTTTATTAACAGTCAGAAACGAACCAGAAAGAACATGGAAATTTTCTGTTGCCACATTATTTCTAGGTAACATTTACAAAACAGACAGTGAATATCTTTAACGGCTTGGTTGAGTTTATTTGCCTCTTAACATCAGGACGGTCTGCACGTCAACTGGAATCATTAAACCTGGATGCTGATAAAAGATTGTTCACCAGTCCACAAAACCACAAACAAGAAAGCAAAATAACTTAAAAATAATGAGTCATATTAAAATACTGAAATAAATGTAAACCGTCCTTTTTAATCTTTGCCAATATAGGCTAAAATAATTGTAAAATTATTGTAAAAGTTTAGTGAACAAGTCCCTGTAAGTCAGTACACTAACTGCTGACAGACGCCATAATACTTTGTGGGTTACATATACTTCTTACCAATTCAATTTTTATTTTGCCTGCACGGTAGCGAACGCAGATCCTATTCTAAATTCTGACAATTTGTGTGAACAATTCACAACAAATACTCTACACACTAGCTTTACGCAACTACTGTGAGAACCTTCAGTGTTAAAAAAAATGATAAACAATTCAAACAATGAAGGGGTGAGTAGCTCAAAAGATTCGTGGGATGTGTGGGAAAGAGACAGTATGCACTTTGCAAGTTTACATTTTTGGGAGCGAAAAAAGAGACATATTAGTAAGTGAGAGTAAAAAAAGAAGTAAATATCAGAGAAAGTCAGAAATCCCCGTCTATACATATCACCCCCAAAATAAGTTCACCTGAACAAACTTGATATATTGTTGACATACCGCAACCAGGTATGCTGAGAGAGTCCAGATCTTAAAGAAAGGCGCGGAATTGATAAATACAGAAGCTGTTGGTTTTTTTATGGTCATGTTTGTGTTCCTCCTCAGGATAATGGAGTCCTTTCCAGTGTTTCACAATACATGGTTTAGTCTCAGTGCATGTCCTATACAGAACCTTTCTCAGAAGATTTAAAGAGCTAAAAACACTATTTAGAAGGACGTTTAGGGCTTGGGAGTAAGAGCATCTACTTTTTTAATTATTATTTCTATTAAGAGGTTTCTAGATTTATTTTTTTAAATCTTTATGAAGTTAGTATTTATTTATTTTTTAGATGCGAGATATCAGTGCAAAACACAGAAGACTCCAACATCTCGTCATGGGTCTCTGTTTGTAGAGGACAAAAAACTGATGTCATGGCTACAAGAATTTCCCTAGATTACATCACTGAAGGGATTCCTCAGATTAAGTCATTGCAACAGAGATTTCTCAAGCATTCGAAGTACAGACCACTCGGCCTTGGATGACTGCATTGTGGGGAAAACGTTCTCCATCACTGATGCGGAATTAGATGCGTGGGAGGTTCACACAGGTCTAATTGGTGGCTGCTTGATCACACACAGTGATTAGTGCAAATTAATAATCTGAGACCTAGACTGATCACATTGTAAAACGAGGTCAGGTAAAGACATGTAGAAGGCCAAATCATGACAATATTTCGAAGTTCTATAACTTTTATAATTTAACGTTTCTGAAAATGGTCGTTTATAAATTTCAAATTTAATGAAAAAAAACAAAAACAAATATAACTTTGAAAACTAGACAAGCAAACATAAGACAAGCTCTATCCTCAATCTAGTCTCCACCTAGTAAACCACTTGGACCTGCTTAAGTACCGACACCATAAACGTCTGTTGAGGATTATGGTATAAGCACAGCATTCACAATGAGAACAGACCCCCCTCCAACCCCCCCAAGAAGCTTTAAATCTGCTGCAATTATTTACATCTTCAAATGCATTATAGCTATAATGCATTAAAAAAAAGAAGAGGCAGGTGTCCCTTTAATTAATTTAAAGTATAACTATACGATGTTTAAGGAGCATTCAGGTTCACTAACAACAGATTAAAACAGAAGTCAAATTACTCCATGTGACCTCAGAAAATGCCAGGACCCACTTGCTGAGCAAATTGTGAAGTCATGTCATAGATAAGGCTATGTTTAGACTAACAGCAAAACTAATTAGTGTAAAGTGTGATATTCTGAACTGGACAGATAAGGGTAGATACTGACAGGAACGTCTATAAAACAGACAGAACTAAAATAAAATAGGTTAGTCATTTTCTCATTAGGCACGCAATAAACTGGACTGGGAAGGACTAACCAGAACGTGCATTGTTCAAAGGAAATTACCTTATATCACACAAAATACACAAACATGGACCAGCTGTACTGTGTGTGTATCATTTTTATTTATTTACTTTTGTTTTTAATTTTACAGAAAAAAAAGGGGAGAAAAAAAATAAACAATAGTAGATAAGCCAATTCCACCTGTCATACCGAGAGGCACACTATAGTCACCAGAAAAACTACCGCTTATTGAATTTGTTCTGGTGAGCATAGTATGTCCCTGTAGGCATTTTCATGCAAACTCTGCCTTTTCAGAGAAAAGGAAGTGTTTACATTAATTGCCTAGGGACACCTACAGTGGCAGTCACTCAGACAGCCACTGGAGGGGCTTCCTAGGTCAGTGCTGCACAATATAGAGATTATTCAATGCAGTTCTATGGGGAGATGCTGATTGGCCAGGGCAACAATTGGCTCTGCCCCTTCAGTGGCTGAGATCATCAGAATTGACGATCCTATTAGAAAGCACTGGATTGGCTGAGATTGTCAATTCTTAGGATGCCAGGCGAGGCGTATAGGGGTAGGACCAGGGTAATAAATAAAGTTTTTAACACAATAGGGTCAGGAATACACGTTTGGAAAATCTTTGGACCTACATTCTACATAGACCCAATTAAAGGAACACTATAGGGTCAGGAACACAGAGTGCATTTTTGAGTTGCTACGCACTTGTGCATGATGTTAGGAGTAGTGCATGCACACTAGACCTTGTTCTTTCTCTGATCAGGAAGAGACCTCAAGCTCACTGTCCTGTGCCAGAGGTTTAAAGGAACAGAATGACCAACGTCACTCTAGCTATGCACAAATTCTATGACAATGATGCCAGGGTTTTGGGGTGTATAAATGGACTTTAAATAAAATGAATTAATAAATGGCTTCGATATTTTATCTGCATGTCCCTCTCTGATATGGTTTTGCTATTAAAGGCATAGGAACAGCCAAATCCTTTCTGGAAGTGAAATATAGCATAGAGGAATCATAGGAGTCAATTATCAGTTCAACTAAGGAATCGTGCAACTCTATATGTATCTATGGTGTATCGCTGTCAGTTAAATAAGGAACAATAAGTACTCCATTAAAATCTCTTATTGCCCATTGTTTAGCAATCCAGAAAGAAACAAAATAATTTGAAAATTCAGCTGAAAAGATGGAAAGTGTACTAAAAAGGCTTTTCTTTTTCACTTTGTTTTTGCACTAAACAATAATCACAACTAGTAGTACTTGAAGATTATTGAAGAAAGTCATTGGATTAAATTGAAAATGACAACATACAGCTTCTGAGCTTGATGCACTGGTATGTTATATATTCCATATGTATGTAATGCCTTTCTGATATTTAATAGTTTAAGAAAAAAGGAAATTAACACAAAATAAATCTTTTTTTGATAATAAGTGTCTCCTCGCTACTTGCAGTGAAATAGAAATGAGGTAAATGTTTATATCACTTATCACTTGAAAATGGTCTCAAGGTTCGTGGATAAGAGCCCTGACCTTCAGTCAACAGGAAAAATGTCAGACTGGACACTGTTCCCAGCTATTTACAACTGAAGCTTAAAGTGAACCTGTCCCGTAGATTTTAAATTTGCCTGATTTAGCCCCAAATAAAATGTTGACCTCCGATCCAGCGCCGCCGTGTCCTCAGCTTTGTGGGTGTAACTCTTCTGTAACATCCATCTCCTGTTCGCCTTTCGGTCCTCCCGCGCTTAGCCTGGTCTCTTCTTTCATTTGCCCGGTTTTGGAATGCTTCCCGATATCGGGAAAAACTTCTCTGTGATGCAAACACAATAGCACGTTGGGATTTGAACAGAGTGATGTCAGTCACTCCGTCCCTCGACTCCCTAGTCAGCACTAGCAGCATTGGCTAAGGAGTTAGCATGGCAACCAGAGTACATGCGCAGTGGTTGCTATGTGTGGGAAACAGAAAGACTGAGTATGGAAGGTTTTTTCTGCTCTCCTTTCTCAATCAATTCCTCGAGGTGCGAGAAAGACCTATTTTTAAATAAAATTTTCTATCACTCTATACATTTGCTAGTAAATCTACTAGTATGATGCATAGGTAGAATGGTATGCTATTTTAAAAGAGCTTTCGTTTTTACAGGCATGAAAGGTCCCCTTTACATTATGAGCACTATAACAGTAAAACGTATTGTAATATTTAAGATGCAAGAAGTTTTGAATGCCAGTGTCCCGTGGAAACATACAGACAGATAATGATGAAGATGCATCCACATTATTATGTTGGTGACTAACAGGCTAGCCTGTGGGTGCCAAGAAGGCCTGTTTTTTTCTGTCAAAGTACTTTGATAAAAACAGGCAGATGGCACCCAAAGACTCCTTAACTACAAAAAGCTGCAAAGGTTATGGTGTCTAGAATGTTATGTAATATGGTTCCATTGGTTACATGTACACATTGCAAGTGTGGCACCTAAGATTAATATCATACACATATCTGATGATGCAAGACCAGCCTAATGCTTGCAACCATCGATACGCAATTTTCATTCATCAATAGAAAAAAGGTGATTTTTGGATACACCGCAAACGGACTCTACGCTAGTGCAATAAATATCACAAACCTTTACAGCGCACACTGTGGTCAAAATAGGTCATTGGTTAGATAAATAGATTATAAGACAACAATAACTCGTGAAAGCAGTAATATAAAACAGTCACTGCTTTCTTTTAGTTAGTGTTCACTAGTAGAGCAGCCGCAATGTCCCACGTTACCTTTACAAGTCTCTGATGGCCCTAAAAACAAATGCAAAGCCACTGGCCTCAATTTAATAAGATTTCTATATTTCTCAACACTGTTAGAAAAACTTAAGAAATGATTTATCTGCATTAGTCACAATTAATGTCTATGGAATATTTAATTTAATTTATTTGTTTATTTATCAAATATTTTACCATTTTAAATATTTGCAGATAATTCATTTGGAATTTTTTTTAAAACAGAACAGAATCATTTGGAAAAGTTACTTAACTTTGAGGCCATTGTATGATGGTGGTTTTTTTCCACAATGCTTAGTGACGTCATGGTGATGATGTCACCTGCGAATGCATCATGTATGTGTAGAAGGAACCTCAGCAAAAAAAAATTAATAAATAAAGAGGACACCATCACCATGGCTGTCTGGTGAATCACAAGAAAATATCAAAGCTAAAATGAAACCTGGATGGAAAAGTAAGCCGCTGCTATGCTGAAAATTCTGAATTAAAATGGCCCTGTCATTGTTTTTTTCTCTCTTGGCTTTTGTTTTCTAATGTCACTTGGATCTCAAGGATTGTACATTTATCTACATTTATCGTTGCCTTTATCTACATTTATCGTTCTTCCTTGTGCAGGATATCAATATCTGAGGGCAACCATTTTGTTTTCCCCCGGCCCGTAATATCTGCAGTTTTACTTTCTGTGGGATTGATTTTACTGACGGATTGTGGTTAAATTAGATTTAAGAAAACTTTAAAAAAACCTTGCTCGATCTCTGACTTTTGTCAGGGTTTGTCAACTTGACTGCTATACATGAGGAAAAGTAGTCTCCATGTCCTTACAAACACTGGAGCACTCAGGGAAAAAAATAAAAATAGATTCAAACACAGGAAGCTATATTGCAACACATTAGATAAAAACGCATTATTGGTGACAGTGCCACTTTAAGAGAGAAAATATTCTATCGCCTATTCTATCATGTAAGCAGTTTATCTAACCCATTTGACCCGCCTATCCCTTTAAAGCAGGTGTTGCAAGACTAGGCCTTACCTCTTCCACTTCTTCCTACAAATCTCAGATCGTTAAACCTCGCCACTTGATTTTTCATGACTGCAGAAGCGTTTCTGAGTTCCGCCGAATAGTTTTCATCGTTCCCAGCCATGACTGTGACCACAGAGCCATCCGGCACTTCTCCCAGGGCAACCACCTGTGTAAATATGATGCCTGGAATTAATGTGACGTTGGGTTTTTTGACGTCTTCATCAGCTCTTTTGCACAATGAGCTACTTTGAGAATGGTTTAGAGAGGTATCTTTTTTATGACCTATGACCTAAAAACAGCTTTACTTTTACAGAGCCAATAATAACATTTTGTTACCAATGTTTTTATTATATTCACCGTCAGACACCCTATTGCATGCGGTGTACGTTTCAACCTGCGTAACTGGTGCAGGACTCCACTGGCAGAAGGTATTTTGACAGAGAAGATGGTGTGACAAGGAGTTATGTGTTGAATGCATGCCACAAACATAATGAATTTTGAGGAAAGGAAAACGGATTAATGTAAAGTAAAAAATTAATAATGCCCTGTAATTTAATATATATATATATATTTTTTTTTTTTTAAAGCATGCTTAATTAAACCAGCCTTAAAATGGTGGTCTGGGCCTCGAACCCACCCAAAAACTTGGGATCTAAACTCTATGGGGGAGAATCTTTTATTCTATTAATATTTCACAAGCCAGGTGGCACCCATATGTACCCATGCCACACAGACATCCTTTACATGACACCATGATACCCACATTGCACACTGACAAGCTACCAATTACTTGAATACCATGCCATCTCGTCTATAAAACATGCTATGATTTACATATATATCCAAGATGATTTTTCTGGCATCAAGGTTCTCCTGCTACGAGCAAAAATCACTGGCACGTGGAAATGGGCACTCAGTGTGAGTACCTATGGCTGAGTGGTACAATAAATGTAAGTACACGTACTAGTGATCATGTTGTCCGTGTTAACATGCAGCATCCCAGGCTGTCTTTGCCCAATTTTAGGAGAGATGCACTACAAATATGTTCGCATGAGCTAATTTCATAAAGAAATCTTACTCGGTGCATGCGCAGTTTGGCCAAAATATTATACTGTAGTTCTGGGTAGATTATTCACATTTCACATTCTACCATCCTAGATTTAAGAAGAAACAGATTGCTTGCGTGATGCTATGTCCAGTGATACCGTGACACCATGTCGACATTAAATGTTTACTCACTTACAGGATTATTCCGTTAAGTGACAATTCAAAGTAAAATTCTAAATAAACCAACTGCAAAAATTATCTAAGTCAGCTATTCTTTCAATACAACTACTTTGGCCTTAAATATTTGGCCATTTTGAATTCTAAGTTTATTAAATAACGCTGTAAAAAAGGAATTGTTGGGATCTGATGAGAAAATTACAAATTCTAAAGGAAAATTCTCATATAGGTAAAATTTTCAGAACCTGGCTATTTTAGCTTGGATAAATTAGAGTAAAATTTAAATTCCCTAGTCAATTCTGCTCAACGCCAAGTTTAACAAATAATCCCCATTTAGTTTATATCAGTATTGCTCTTCTGACTTGTGCTTATGGTTATTAAATACTAGTAAAAAAAAAAATTATCGTAGCACTTGTTTTCCGGTATAAATTCAGCATGCAAACATAATATATTAACAAGTATAGCTTAAGGAAGAAGTCTAGAAATCTGTTAAAACTAATTGCCTGTTACATATTTAATTAGACTAAAACATAAAGGATTAACCCATTCCATTCAGTAGGGAACTTTAATGATCTCTTCCGTGACTTGTTTGCATCATTTCAGTTTAATTTGGAAAATGTCATATTTCATTGTAAAACATTGAATTTTTACAAACATTAAGGCACAAGGGTCTGTTTTGTTTATATTTTTCTATGTATTTTACTATTGTTCATTAATGTGACCAGGCTTCATTTTAATACCTATAACATCATAAACTGCTTTCCTGTATTTTAAACCGAGGCTCTGTTATTAATAATTGTTAAAGTTATATATATATATAATATGTACAGGTCATATTTAAAACAATACCAGACTCTATGCATATAGGCTACGATGCCTGGTAGTACAACAACTTTTAAAAGTCTTTTTTTTTTTAAAACAAAACAGGACTATGTAAAAATTCAGCAAAATATTTTCACTGCAGTATTAAGAAATGGCAATTATGTTATTTTACAATATTTAGTAGACCCAATTAAAAAAATATATATATACAAAATGTGTCAATCGCACAATTAAGTGTCACGTATATTATTTACTTTGCATCTAAAAATTTTTACTTTATATTATTAAAATACTTTAATCTGCAGGAGTGTGGATTTCCATATTTTTTTTTTGTACTATAAAAATCTTTCTGTAATGTCTGTAAATAGACGTGGCTGATTACGAAACCCAATTTGTCAGACCAATCACACTGATAAAGTGGTTTGTTAGGGCCTCCTTGTACTCTTAAATATGAATACATGTTACTTAAATGTCAAATGTATTAATATATCTGAGTTGCCTGTTTAAGAGACTCTCAGAGCGTGTTAACCCCACTTTACCATACGTCACCCATTTCATAAAAAAGGTTAGATAAATATGGAAAAGAGAGGAATTAAAAAAAATAAGTATGTCTTGTCAACTTGCCAATGTCTACACAAAACAATCTTTATTTTATTGCGTTAAAGAAAATTTAGGTAGATCTAAATAGTAAAAATAGTACAAATAGTAAAAAGTTAGAAAGGAGCAGAAATCAGATTTAGAAAAAAAAAAGATAAATTAAATTATTGAAGCTGCAAAATTCAAAACGAAAAAAAAAAATCATTTTGCAAAGTTATGTTTGCAGAGGTGCAGCTTAGGAAATCTCAATGCGACATTTATTCACTGACTTGCGTAACAGGGATTGAAATAACTGTCTTATAAGAAAAGTTGCTATTCACTAAAAATTAACCCAAAAGGGAATTCTGATAAAGTTTTCTAAAATATTATTTTAATGGGAATATGACAGTCTTTGTGAAATGAAGTATACGTGTAAGTGATTACAGACCTGGATAAAACTAGGCATAATATAGTCTGTTTTAGCCAGATTAGGGCGAGCTGGTTATAGTTCTCAGTCTTAGAAGGCAGAAGGTACCTTCAAGATTCTGTAGGTAATTAATAGTGCAAAGTCAAACCACTTCCTGCAGATTTAAATCCACAATTCTTAACTTTTCAGGAGCATCCATCCCACACCCTCAAATAGTGTCCAACCACCTCCTCGGTGTCTCCCTTCCTATCTCATCTTCACTTTAAATTTCAAAAGGTTTACACCCATAATATCGCACTTTGTCTCGATTTTCCACGGTCTTCTTCATCCCCACATTCACTCTAACCCCTAGTCTCCACCCTCAAGTATCTCTATATTCCACCAGGAACGACTCACCACTACAACTGAAATCAAGAGCTTTAGATCTTCTTAACGGCCTTTGCCTGGACACCAACCCCCGACACCACCATGCTCCAAGTCTCAGACATACCTAGGCAACCTTGTATGTGGCATTGTAGGGGAACAAGTTCCCCAGAACCTTAAAATCTGCCCCAGGAGCAGGCCTGGATTTGAGTATGTCCCTTGTGATACACAGTTATCCTAGTGACAATGACAATGAGTATTGGCTGAACCATTGACTGAATAACCGGTGCTAAAGAAGATATATTATTATGATATCATGATAACTAACCTGTTAATGAGTGGATGTAGAGAAACTGAGTGGAAACCAGTGATGGTAGTGGAGAGCAAAAAAATTTCACTTACGTAATTAATATGCAGCAATTTTGGAATGAATATACAGCAGTTTGCTAGATAAATAGGAAAACACAATATAGTGTAGTATTTTAGATAAAGCCAATGTGATTGTTAATATAATCGATATGCACTCACATGGGTTTGAGCCAGAAAAGGACAGGCTCAGATCTCACAAGCAGATGTGTTCTAAGGGGACACAGGCCCTCTTCAGTCTTTGTCCATAGTGGCTCAATGTGAGCTATAGATATATATGTTCTATGGCTCTAACCCATGTGAGTGCATAGCGATTATATTTACACTCAGATTGGCTTTTTCTAAAATACTACCATACTACAATATATTGTGTTTTCCTATTCATCTAGCAAACTGCTGTATATTCATTCCAAAATTGCTGTATATTAATTATGTAAGTGACGTTTTTAGCGCTATACTACTATCGCTGGTGGTAACTGGTTTCCACTCAGTTTCCCTACATCCACTTACTCTATAGCGTGTGTTGTAAAGGAGATACTCACCATTTGTGGTAGCTGCTAATCTTTAATATTTAAGTATATAAGCGCCTTTACACAGATCACTTTGTATTTTTTGTCCAACCTGTTAATGACCCTGGGGAGCACTGCACTATATGAACTTGAAATCAACTTGACATTTTTTCACCATGCTGACATTTACAGAAAAAAAAAATGTAAAATATAAATACATTTGCATTGTTCAAAATGGATCAGCGCACATAAAGCCATCAAAAGCAACTAAATTAGCCGCGTTGATAGAAAGACTGTGTTATACTTAAAAAACAGGTACATCAGTGAAAATTTAAATCGAGATTAAAAAGCTAAAAAACAGCAAAGTGTGACGTCATAGGAGTTTCACTTCCACATCAATCAGAGATATCCCTTCTTGGCCACTGCTGTGGGCATAATCTATCTCCGAATCTGCTCACAAACATAACAGATAGACGCTCATTTCTTGCAGGCTCAACGTGATCTTAACAGGGGCAGCATCCCTGCAAACCAATTCCAGATATTATTCACTCCAACACAGTAGACACACTCTCCGTACAAATCAAAACCATTTCTCTTACATTGCAATGCAGGAACCCGATAAATCAGTGTTTCTCGGTGGGGTGAGAAGGCAAATGGATTTTGTTTTCTAATTCTGGTGGTCGCGCAGTGCAAGCGGTTTGTTAGATGAGAAGGAAATTATTGATATTGTTATAATAGTGAGGAAAATACAATTCAAGTAATACTCTCACCCACAGAACATGTCAATGAAAAGGTCACCCTCATGTCAATATATATATATAACCTATACATTATATTCACCAAACAGGCGTTTGTGTTGAATTGACTAGGGTAAAGCTTGGTTTACATTAAACTAGTCGAGCTGGAGAAATTCCTAAAACAGAGATTTTGTTTTCCCGATGTGACTGTTTTGACAAGTGTAGATATACTTACCCCTCAAAGAGATACTTACTACAAATGGACTTGGCATCCTTTCATATCTGTTGGAAGCAGCATTTGTAGCATTTGCTGCTACATATAAGGGATACTATAGGCACAGGGCCGGCACTACCTGTAAGGCGACCTAGGCAACCGCCTAGGGCGCAACGTAGCAGGGGGCGCCAGATTTCTGCACCTGGAATCACCGCTGCGGCGCAGCACTGCTGTATGGAGGGCAGATTTGAGCAATCGGCAGGAGGGAAGCGCAGAGCACTCCCTCCTGCCGTTCTCTCAATGTAGCGTGGCCGGGCGGCGCGGAACGCGGGACAGGAACCCCTGTTTCCTGTACCCGGCCGCCGGCGGACTGACAGGAAGTGCTCACTTCCTGTCATTCCGCCGGCGACCAGGTACAGAAAACAGAGGTTCCTGTCCCGCGTTCTGCGCCGCCCGGCCACGCTACATTGGCAGGAGGGAAGAGGAGGGTTAGGACCACTTAAGGACCACTGGGGGAGGAGGGGGAGGGGACACTAAGGATCACTGGGGAGGAGGGGGGATACTAAAGACCACTGGGGGAGGAGGGGGGGGAGTAAGGATCACTGGGGGAGGAGGGGGAGAGTAAGGACCACTGAGGGAGGAGGGGGGAAGGTCAACTAGGGGTTTGCCAGAGGGAGGACCACTAAGGGGGGAGAGGAGAAGGACCACCAAAGGGGGGAGGGAGGACCACTGAGGGAGGGAGGGATGGAGGAAGGGAGGGAGGACCACTAAGAGGGAGATGGGGGATTGAGGAGACCACCAAGGGGGGACTGCAGAGGGACAGGGGGCCAAGGGAGAGCACTAAGGGACAGAAAGGGAGAACACTAATTGACAGGAGGGGAGAGCACTATGAAATTTTTTTAACAAAATAAAGAGCTGCTCCCCTCTCAGTCCCTATCCTACCCCACAAACCCTCTCTTTTACACTACACACATACACAATTTATCCCCACACACACACACACACACACACACACAGAAACATACAATGCATCCCTACTCACACACAGACACACCCGAAACACACAATGCATCCCTTACGCTCACACAAACACTCATTCTCTTACACACAGAAACAAAATGCATTTCTTACACACTCAATGCACCCCTTACCGACACACACTGCATTCAGATACATACACAGAAACACACCTTGCACCCCTTACACACACACACCCACACACACCCAGAAACATACAATGCATTCCTTACACACAAACACACACTGCATCCACTATACACACACTACATCCCTTACACAAATTGGTATCCCTATACACTACATTCTATAAGAACACACACAGATTGCATCCTCTACAATAACACATAAAACATCCCTTACACACATACACTCCACTTCCTGTGAGAGAACTCATGGGTGGGCCATGTAGGTGGATTTATGGGTGGGCATTGTAGGCATAGTCACGGTCAAGCCCTGGGGGCCCAGACCTTGAGCTGTGTAAGGGGCCCCAAAAAATGGCGCTGCTTCCTGTTCTACACCAAACCTGTGGAGCCAGACTGAGCCCATCATCAGCCTCTTGTCCTCATCTGGTGGTAAGTAGGCAATCCAATACTAATTATTAGTGGCACTAATCTCTAATTTACCTCACATTAAATGGATACTATAGTCACCAGAACCACTACAGCTTAATGTAGTGGTTCTGGTGTCTATAGCCTGTGCCTGTAGGCTTTTTAATGTAAACACTCTGTCTTTTCAGATAAAAGACACTTTGTGAAGACTGGCGTTGGCCCATATGGCATCGGGGGGCAAAAATCCTTGCACCGGCCCTGTATAGGCATCAAAACAACTTTACCCTAATAAAGCAGTTTTCCTGTATAGATTGTGCCACTGTGGTTTCATTGCTCAATTCTCTGCCATGTAGGAGTTAAATCACTTTTATTTCTGTTTAAGCAGCCCTAGCCGCACCTCTCCTTGCTGTGAATGACACAGCCTGCATGAAAAAAATTGTTTCATTATCACTCAATCACAATGCTTCCCCATAGGATTGGCTGAGACTGTCAAGGAGGCAGATCAGGGGCAGAGCCAGCACAAGTCACAGCCCTGGCCAATCAGCATCTCCTTAATAGAGATGAATTGAATCAATGCATCTCTATGAGGAAAGTGTAGTGTCTCCGTGCAGAGGGTGAAGAAACACAATGGCAGTGCTGCTCATTGTGCAGCACTGCCCCAGGAAGCACCTCTAGCAACCTAGGCTGTAATGTAAACACTGCATTTTCTCTGAAAAGACCATGTTTACTGCAAAAAGCCTGAAGGGTATGATTATACGCACCAGAACACATACAATAATATGTAGTTGTTCTAGTGACTATAGTGTCCCACTAAGGCCAAAAGAACTGAACTGGATGAATTCTCCAGTTTAGCAACTTTGGTATAAAATGTTAAAATTTCACTTTGAATTTTTTTTACTGAATAACCTTGTACAGAATGCCATTATGCAGTTTTGTTAACCCTTTATATCAGTAAACTGTCACAATTTACCTACAGTTTGGAGCTGGACTAACCAATAAATCAAACTAGGAGACTGCCTAATGAACTTGTGGAGTGTAGTTGACTGCGCATTGAGCCCAGCAAGTGGTAAAGTACCATAACTACTTACCTCTTTCTTCTCATCCATCCTTCTCTCTATAAACCACTAATTTACAATGAGAATGTGTGTGTAAGGAGAGAGGCGCTAATCTTGCATCTTGCACAGTGTCTGGGTCTTAAAACAAATCTGTTTTTAATTTGTTGTTATGTGAATGATGTGTTGCGACTTTAATAAGGCAATTTCGCCTTATGTTACTCTCAAGGCTAGTCACTAAACTAAAAATTCAAAGTTAATCTCAAAATCAAAGACTAAACTAGCCAAACTGTGAAATATCAGCCAGATATGCCTACCTTTCACTTTTTCTGGCCTCAAATATGAAATTCACTTTGAATTCTTGCTTTAATAAATAACCCTGTCTTTGTTCAATTTTTATTTTTTTCATAGCTAAGATAACGCACCACAGATATTTAGAGTTACAGAGAAAGGAAGAGTTAAAAAAAATCTGTAATTTGACTATTTCTGTGCTATGGTGCTGTATGCATCTGATGTGGTGACACTAATCATGGGACAGTATGTGAAACAATTACAATTATTTATGTAGCACCAACATATTCTGCAGCGCTGTACAATAATTAAACCAGGATAAATGTTTAATTTTAACAAAACATGTATGGGATACGGTAACAGTTAAGTGAAGAGGGCGCTGTGCAAGCAGAGGGCAAGCTGGCGTCAAACGACCACAAATGTAAATTCATGGGGCAGTATGTGAGACAGAAGCCTTGTTAAGTATTCAACGAGCAGACAGTATGGCTGACATCACTGACCACCGGAAGGTGTGAGTCACTGACCTGGGTGAGAACTTTGGAGCTGGCTAACCATTCTTTATTCTCAGCATACCTTGTATGGGTTTTAGTAGAACACAGATTCATCACAATGGGGGTTTTGTATAGAAAGTGTGATGATCACTTTTCATTCGGTTTTTTTTTCTGTTACTTTTCCTATTTCTGAGTATGTATTCTCTTATTTGCAGCAAAATGTTTAGTTTTTTTGGGGGGTGTTTGCCTCTCCTGTCATTTTACTTTCCTGCTCTATATCGGTTCTAGGTCTCATAGTTCACTAATTTGTCACTGCCAATCCCTATAAGACCAAATTTTATGACTCTGTCAGATGGATGAGTTCTCTCGCTCTTCTTTTTATATAAAAAAAAAACCCTTCAAACTACAAACTGCGCTTCCCCCTCACCCCCCCTCCCACCATAGTAATAGTATGTGTTTATCTTAATTTGTGAAAGTAATTAAAGTGTAAATCATCATGATATAAAAACAAGAAAAATATGAAAAAGGAATTAAAAGTAGCAGATGGACAGATTATTGTGCACTTCAGAAAAGGCAGAAAAGAAGCATGAGTGTGTAAAGGTGGGTTAACAGGTTTATGGAGCATGCGCAGAAACTGGCACAAAACATGCAAGTGAATGGAATGACTTTATGTATATCCCCCTATGTTTTAGAGGACACTCACACTGAGGACATGTAACAGTAGCAGGGCCACGTTAAGCCGGGCCCAGCTTAATAGCATTTATTCTATATCAGGGCTGCCCAAAAGGTATGATGTAGAACTACAACTCCCATGATGCTTTGCATGCCTGTAGAATTTATTTCGATTGACAGAGCCTCATGGAAGCTGTAGCTTTAAAACATCTGGGAATCTACCTTGTGGGTACCCCTGTTTTACATAATTTAGGTCAAAATGTTCTGTTTAAGAATACAGGCACGTAAAATGCTATAATAAATTCATCTCAATTATTTATACTCAAAAAAAAAATTTTTTTATCAAAACAAGACCAAATGGTCCATGGGCATAATTTTCACTGAATAAATAAATAATTTTCTACCCAGGACTGCGATTCATTGAAACTAATAGATCTGCAAAATACATTGCTTATAAATAATATTATGGAACGTTTTACATCAAAATGTATTGCAGCTCTGAAAGAGTTAAATATATTTAAATGAAAGAGTTATTTCACTGGAAAAAAAATGCAGATTTTTCATATTTCCCTACTTAGGACAAAATATATGGTGTTTCTTCTAATTCTGCTATGTTATCGTTTTATATTGCAAGCTAAGAAACATAACACGAGTTGCTGTTTAGTTAATAGGCCCCTTAATCAAATAGCCAGCAGGCCCAATAGAGAACAAAAAAAAAAAATCAAGATTGAATGTTATAAACCAAATGCTTTGCCCTTAAAATGTAAGTATGTGGAAATATTTGTACAAGCTCCTGAAAACACATGCAACGTTTTATACTTCCTGCTACAATAAATGAAATGAACATTTAATATCGCCTGGTCCTTGTTCCAGCAGGTCTGTCACTGACTGTCGCAGATACAGCAGGCAAGTGTGAAACAGGATGCAATGAATGCACAAAGTATCACATATATGCCATTTCTTTCACAATTTCTCCATTAAATGTTACTGGTGTAAAATTGAAGGGATTTATTAAACCAGGCCCCTCACCACTGGTTTCATAGAAGGGCACAGAAACAAATCATTAAAGCGATACTTGCCACGTTCTGATATCTACCTTCTGCCTTGTGAATTGTACAGCAATTTATTTATTAATAGGAGATTGCCATGAGTTGATAACTAACTTGCAGAATTAATTTAATCTGGAAAAATAATTAATAAATATGTTACGTTTTTAAAGGTAAAAGTAATGTGTATTATTATTATTATTATTATATTATTTATATAGCGCCAACAAATTCCGTAGCGCTGTACAATGGGTGGACTAACAGACACATAATTGAGATCAGACCACTGACATACAGGAACAGAGGGGGTTGAGGGCCCTGCTCAATGAGCTTACATGCTAGAGGGAGTGGGGTAAAGTGAGACAAAGGGTTAAAGTAGGGGAATTAAATAGTTTGTTACAGAAGGGTTTATTGAGTGCTTGGTAGTGTATGCCTATCTATCTGTCAGTCTATCTATCTATCTAACTACATATCTATCTGTCAATCTACCTATCTGTCTATCAATCTATTTATCCATCTGTCAATCAATCTATCTACCTACCTACATATCTATCTGTCAATCTGTGTGTCAGTCTACCTATCTATCTGTCAATCGATTTATCTATTTATTTATCCATCCATCCATCTATCTGTCAATCTATCTATCTGCCTACCTATCAATCTACCTGTCAATCTATCTAGATTTCTATCGGTCAATCTATATACCTGTCAATCTATCTATCTAGATATCTATCTATCTATCTATCTGTAAATCTATCTGTCAGTCTACCTATCTGTCTATCAATCTATTTATCCATTTATCTATCATCTATCAATCTATCCATCTATCTATCAATCTATCCAGCTATCCATCTATCCATCAATGTACCTACCTATCTATCTATCTATCTATCTATCTACCTACCTACCTACCTACCTACCTAAGATGTTGATCACAAATATATTCCGAATAGGGATTGTATCACTAAGTCCATATAACCTGAGCATTAATTTGGTTCTATCAACACATCCTATATTGTACAAAATAATACCAGTAGGTTTTGATCTCCTGGTATTATTCTGTACAATATTTTTTATTATTACTACTTATTATTTATACAGTGCCAACATATTTATTCAGTGTTATAGCATGGCAATATACATAACACAAACAAATACATTATTACATGCAGAAGACATTGAGAGGATAATAAGGAATACAAATCCATCAATCAAATCAATATGTCCAGAAAGAATGGGTCATGATTGTCCTGTTTAAAAAACTAGAAGAATTTAGGTATTAGTATTAGAGTTAAAGAATATGTTTTTTACGTTTAGAGTTTTTAAAATTTATGTTTTTTCAAATATGTTTCTCTTGCCTAACTTCTAAAAACAGGCAGATCCTTTTGCACATCTAATGGTAAGATGTCCAATATTACTCTGTACGATGCAGAACATGCATGCGGCCTTGATTAAACATTTTGAAACATGGTACACGCACGGAGCCCGCAGTGTGCCTGTAACGCACATCATTAAACAAGAAAAGTGGGGCTTAGATTTATAAACAGTGTGTGGAGTCTGGTATTAATACAGAGCACTGGGTGTCATTAAATTTTATGTACAAAACTACACTGGCACTTTCTATAAAAGAAAAAAATATATACAAAAACATAAAATGTTTCTTTTGTACATGTAAAACAAACATAGCACTCAGCTTGTTGAGAATAAAGAATTGAAAGCATTGTGTAGTCTTTGCTGTGCCAGAGCCTCGATTTCTTGCAAGTTGTGGCATTTTTTAATTTTCTTTTTTTTTTTTTTCATTAGGAATATTTATTTGATTGTGTTAGTCTGAAAACAAACACAAGAAATGTTGAGACAATGTTTACAAATGCCAAAAAAAAGGCACTTGGTCCCACCAAATACATGTTGTTTACTTGATTGTAAGCTCTTGAGTTAGGAGGACCCTGGTCCTCTGCCCAGACGAACTAGCGAAGCAACAGCTACAATTGGCATAATGCAGTTTAAATTCATGGAATTACAGTAAAGAAATTTTTTTGCCATTGTATTATTATTAAGATATGTGGAGATAAATTGCTTAAGTCTTGAAAATGTCTGCCTGAGGGTGGTGAGACTTGATTATGACCCCTGCAACAGACTGATGTGCTGATATAGTAACACATCTGGGATTATATGCTAAGTGATGGATGTGCCTTCAAATCGCGAAATTATGCAATTACATCAAATTTTACTTGAATTTCAGCTATTCGACGTTGAGTAGTTATCCCTGAAATGATGATGAGCAATACACCCCCTGCTAGAGTTGAAAACCAAAAACAAATCTGAATTCTATATATATATATAATGAGTGTAGAATTCCAGATTCTATTCCCTGGTCTCCACTGAGAGATGACAAAACAATTACTTTACTATGGACATCCCTTTGGTCTCCCAAATAGACATGAAGACTGTATCCATCCACTCCATCCACTCTGAACATTTGCCCAGATATAGATGAGAAGATTGCTGGTAATCTATAAAAAGATTAGCCAGTAGTTTATAATGTTCTGACAGTATTTTATTTCTTTTATTTGTCCCAAGTGTACAACATAATGATTATAATAATGATTATAACATCAGGATAAATTAAAGGGACACACCAAGCACCCTGACTAATACAGCTTTCTGTAGTGGTTATGGTGCTCAGAATTAGTTCCACAACGTGGCTACTTTAGTGTTTCACTAAACAGATTTCCAGCAAACTGATAAGGAGCTTTTAAAATGAACCAGCCAACTAAGATGTTCCACAGTCCATTTCAGTCAAACAGGATATTTTATCCAGTTGTGCTTTTTTATTAGTCTTAAAGGCCACTCCATCATCTAAGTGGTTATAGTGCCTCGAGTGGCCACTGCTTAGTGTCAAACCATTTTTATGATTGAATGAATCGTGTCTCAGCAAAGACTACAAGGATCATAAACTGATGTACTGTGGTATGCAATAACGAAATACATTTAGATGATCTTGATATATAAATATACCGGTACATTAAGCGTATTAAATAGTTAATATATACAGTTCTATAGGGCCTGCTATGCTCTTATCTATGCTACCAGAGATAACAATACTTACTCTCACTGACCAACAACCCAACACATGGTGATAGAGCCTGACATACACTACATCTACCAACAGATGGCGACAGAGCCTGAAATACCTCCATATCTGCCAATAGATACTGATACAGCCTGACATACACTACATCTACCAATACATGATGATAGAGCCCAACATGCACTACATCTATCAATAGATACTGATAGAGCCTGACATACAGTCCATCTACCAATAGATACTGATAGAGCCTGACATACACTACATCTACCAATAGATACTGATAGAGCCTGACATACACTACATCTACCAAAAGATACTGATAGAGCCCAACATACAATACATCTACCAATAGATACTGATGGAGCCTGACATACACTACATCTACCAATAGATACTGATAGAGCCTGACATACACTACATCTACCAACAGTTGGCGACAGAGCCTGATATCCCTCCATATCTGCCAATAGATACTGATACAGCCTGACATACACTTCATCTACCAATACATGATGATAGAGCCCAACATGCACTACATCTACCAATAGATACTGATAGAGCCTGACATACACTACATCTACCAATAGATACTGATGGAGCCTGACACAATAGTACATCTACCAATAGATACTGATAGAGCCCAACATGCACTACATCTATCAATAGATACTGATAGAGCCTGACATACACTACATCTACCAACAGATGGCTACAGAGTCTGACATATACTACATCTATCAATAGATACTGATAGAGCCTGACATACACTACATCTACCAATAGATACTGATAGAGCCTGACATACACTACAACTACCAACAGATGGCGACAGAGCCTGATATCCCTCCATATCTGCCAATAGATACTGATACAGCCTGACATACACTTCATCTACCAATACATGATGATAGAGCCCAACATGCACTACATCTATCAATAGATACTTATAGAGCCTGACATACTGTACATCTACCAATAGATACTGATAGAGCCTGACATACACTACATCTACGAATAGATACTGATAGAGCCTGACATACACTACATCTACCAACAGATGGGGACAGAGCCTGACATACACTACATCTACCAATAGATACTGATAGAGCCTGACATACACTACATCTATCAATACATGATGATAGAGCCCAACATGCACTACATCTATCAATAGATACTGATAGAGCCTGACATACACTACATCTACCAATAGATGTTGATAGAGCCTGACATACACTACATCTACCAATAGATGATGATAGAGCCCGACATACACTACATCTATCAATACATGATGATAGAGCCCAACATGCACTATATCTATCAATAGATACTGATAGAGCCTGACATACACTACATCTACCAATAGATACTGATAGAGCCTGACATACACTACATCTACCAACAGATGGGGACAGAGCCTGACATACAGTACATCTACCAATAGATGTTGATAGAGCCTGACATACACTACATCTACCAACAGATGGCTACAGAGCCTGACATATACTACATCTACCAATAGATGGTGATAGAGCCTGACATACACTACATCTACCAATAGATACTGATAGAGCCTGACATACAGTACATCTACCAATAGATGTTGATAGAGCCTGACATACACTACATCTACCAATAGATACCGATAGAGCCTGACATACACTACATCTACCAATAGATACTGATAGAGCCTGACATACACTACATCTACCAACAGATGGGGACAGAGCCTGACATACACTACATCTACCAATAGATGTTGTAAGAGCCTGACATACACTACATCTACCAATAGATGTTGATAGACCCTGGCATACACTACATCTACCAATAGATGTTGATAGACCCTGACATACACTACATCTACCAATAGATACTGATAGAGCCTGACATACAGTACATCTACCAATAGACAGTGATCGAGCCTGACATACACTACATCTACCAATAGATACTGATAGAGCCTGACATACACTACATCTACCAATAGATACTGATAGAGCCTGACATACACTACATCTACCAATAGACAGTGATCGAGCCTGACATACGCTACATCTACCAATAGATACTGATAGAGCCTGACATACACTACATCTACCAACAGATGGGGACAGAGCCTGACATACACTACATCTACCAATAGATACTGATAGAGCCTGACATACACTACATCTACCAACAGATGGCTACAGAGCCCGACATACACTACATCTACCAATAGATACTGATAGAGCCTGACATACACTACATCTACCAATAGATACTGATAGAGCCTGACATACACTACATCTACCAATAGATACTGATACAGCCTGACATACACTACATCTACCAATAGATACTGATACAGCCTGACATACACTACATCTACCAATAGATACTGATAGAGCCTGACATACACTACATCTACCAATAGATGGTGATAGAGCCTGACATACAGTACATCTACCAATAGATACTGATAGAGCCTGACATACAGTACATCTACCAATAGACAGTGATCGAGCCTGACATACACTACATCTACCAATAGATGTTGATCGAGCCTGACATACACTACATCTACCAATAGATGTTGATAGAGCCTGACATACACAGCATCTACCAATAGATACTGATAGAGCCTGACATACAGTACATCTACCAATAGACAGTGATCGAGCCTGACATACACTACATCTACCAATAGATGTTAATAAAGCCTGGCATACAGAACAACCCCTCTGCCGATAGTGATAGAGTCTGAGGTAAAATACATACACCAAGTGGCGTGAGAGAGAGCCTGATATTCCACAATATTAACAATAGGTGGTGATAGTGCTAGACATTCCACTATATTCAGCAATGTGGTAACAAAGCCTAGTCACCATGATAGTTCCACCAACAGAAGGTGATATTCACTGGCAAACTTATGGATCCACCAATAGACACTCACAGATCGTGACACTAATATACAACTATACATGCACCAATATATGGTGACTGACTACGACATACCTATACATAAACAAGCAGGCAGTGATAGATCCGGACATACTTATACATATAGTCTGACAAATGTATCCATACATTAATGGGATATTATATAACTTGCTATACCTATATACACACCAGTAGATGGTGATAGAACCTGACAGACCTATATACACACACCAGTATATGGTGATAGAAATGATACAGCAGTATAAAGTGATAGAAAGTATACAGCAGTATAAAGTGATAGAAATGATAAAGCAGTATAAAGTGATAGAAAGTATACAGCAGTATAAAGTGATAGAAATAATTCAGCAGTATATGGTGATTGAAATTATACCGTAGTATATGGAGTATAACACATATACTGATATACAGGGCCGTTAATCTCCCCCTAGATTCCAAACCTAGAGACTATTCTGGGGGTACAAAAGGAATTTCACCAATGTCCACACTCCTAACGTTCTAAGAAATTCAAGTATTTTGGTCAGTTTTTTTTTTTTTTTAGCAGATGCAGAATTGCTATAATATTAATTTGCACATTCAGGGCCAATCTCCAAATTTCATCCTGAAATGCTAATTTTTATTGATCATTCAGATTGCACTTTGGGGGGGTTTCTATGTGTTTTGCAATTCTGGGGCACATTGAGACATTAATGAAAAGAAGACCCACATGTGATAAAAAGACACATGAAATGATATATAATATATTCTTCTTTGACAGATTTAGGGCAGATTTACTTCCTCTCTGGTACTGCACATTGATTGCACATTAGCTCTGGTCTGAAACTGCTAAACAGCCTAGTTTCTTCCTTTCCTACCGGAACTCAAGATATCTGTAAGATTACACTGTTGCTAAACAGGTGCTGAAAGCAGTAGTGGGGGGTGTTTCCGGCATTCAAATTGGGACATACTGAGTGTCACTTATAGAGCAAAATGTACCGTTTGTGAATTCACCATCTATCTCGTAGAGTGAAACTAACAGGGCTATTTACTACAGATAGATTTCAAAGTGAATTCAAAGTAAATGTCAAATTCAAGGCCAGAGTAGCCGAGCTGAAAGCATCGCTAACTTAGAGAATTTTCCCAATTTAACTATTTTAACCTAAAATGTTAAATTCACTTTGAATTCTCACATTAGTAAATCAGCCCTCAAATCTTACTGATTAAGATACTGATAAGGTCCTTTTGCACAGCTTTATATATAAAAAGGCTAGTTTGCAAGTTTGAAATGTTTTAGATAAAATGAATAAATCTTAAAGGGGTGTATCCACTTAGCACTGAATTGTAGTGCGTTGCAAAATTTTGGTGAATTGGAGAGAAAAAAAATTACCATATTAGCTAATTTGGAGATTTTATTCAATTGTTTTGGCCTAAACCTTACAAGTTTATTATCAACCCACCACAGTTCACTTTTTCATGAGTACGCCCCTGGAGGATTTTAAAAACAGCATCATTTTCAATTGACCCTTAGAAATGATGAAGTGTCGTCCTTCGTCTTATGAACTGTTCCATACAAAAATATTTGATGTCACTGGTTTCACAAATTGCTGTGCTTGTAAATAATACAGTAAACATTGCGTGTAACGTATCGCTTTGTTTGTAAATAGCTAAGCACGCATTGTGTTCTTTAAGGCTGTTCAAGGGGTGTAAAGAATTTATAAATTTAGCAGTGCTCACAAACATAGAATTCATATAAAAACGTTTGTACTGTTCTATCTAGAAAAAGCAAGTTTTTTAAAAGACTTTTGCAAAAATGACATGAATTCAATACTTTGAAAGTTCTTTTTTTTTTGTGGTTTTGTTTAAATCCGCAACCGGAAAACCTAAACAAAAACATGTCGTTAGGAGCTAAGAAATGAAAAATAAATAAAGATTAATTGGCATAACACCCAATAAACACTGTTCTAGCAATGTAAATCCTGCAGAAATATTTTAAAATAATGATAAAAATTATCCGTTACTGCAGCAGGCAGTTTGTGCGAGACCTAGAATGCAAGCTCTTCAGGGAAGAAAGAGCACAATGAGTAAATTAACCAAATAAAGTATCATTTAATATCTGCAAGATTGTGATTTAATCATTATGTGCAAGGAATGAAAGATACTAGCAGACCAGCACTATGTAATATAGTGATAAATTGAAAAAAAAAACAATAATATACATACTTGGATTGTGATATGTGTGTTGCTTCTAACACAAAAATCCTGCATTAAATTGAACAAAATAAAAAGAAAATGACAAAAAGCTTTAGAGATCTCCAAGTAATTCTACAGCTCTTAACGCAGGTGAAGGATCTATTCACAAAATATGTAAATATTAATACGAAGCTTAAGGCAAGCAAATAGATGCAATTCATATTCTGATATTCATTGTAATGTTCTTAAAAGTAGGATTTTATTACAAAAAACACTTACACTATGCAAAGGAATAGAAAAAATTACTCCAAGCCTTTATGTGTAACACACGCTCAATGTAAAACCTTAATAATAATTTTCTAAAATCAGATTGAAACAGATTTCTGTTTTGATCTAAAATGTCTATAATATATGCTAAAATGCAAAAAATATATAGCGTTGCATTTAAAAAAAAAAAAGCAAAAAAAAAAAAAAAAGCACCATATATTATGAAAAGGTGCAAATCTGCAATGGATGGTGCATCTCCCACTGACAAACTGACAGATACATCTATCTGACTCTATATATGAAACATTCTGTCATTCTACTCTGCTTAGTGGCCTGGATTCAAAGAACGCATAAGGAGATCCTTCTAAACAATGTTATCAGCACCTTTACTTAAGGGGGAGGCACAGAAATCATTATGACTATATTAAACTGTGCCTAATTAATTCTGAAGTGTACCAATATATACAATGGTTACTGAAAAACTAAAACCATTGTCAAGGAAAAGTTGCTGAGATATATACAGTGCTATAATATATGGCAATCTGACATCCTGCATCTGGTTTGCCTACTGTGTAATGTGCAAAAACAGGGGTAAATTCACAAGTACATCGTACAACTGCAGACAGAATGGATTGTCTATTATAATTGTTTATATACCAGTCACGTCTTATTATACTCTGTCTTGAGCCACTGCCCACACACACCTTTATTATGCCTCATTTGTTTTATGAAGGGTGGTTAAAAAATAATAAATTGCTGAAAAATTGCTTAAAAATTGCTAAAAATGGGGGAGGGGGAATAATTGATTAAAAAGATTTTTTGGAAAGTTAAAAATATTTGATTAAAGTGCCTTTTCATTCAAGGTGCAGGTTTCTGACAAAGCAGATTTTTAAAAAAAAAACAAGAATGTTTCTTATGGTTCAATGAATTTTTGAAACAAGGAAAACGGTGTTAACCCTTTGCAGGTCAGAGATCAGTGATAACTCGGACGTCTCAATAATCAGAAAGTTAAAGGCAGGTAGGTCAACAAATGCAAAAAAAAAACTGTGTGTCGCATTAAATTGCATGGCTTTATTTTATTAACTCTTCCGAAGTTGTTTGATTTTTTTTTATTACTGCACAAAATATGAAACTCGTGAATGTGCAATTGTTTTTAAGTGGCGAAAGACACCACAAAAAAATAATAAACAATAAAATAAAGCCATTCGAGATTAGTCAGGGAAAGGCATTTGTCATTTACAGCGGGCAGATTATAGAAATTTAATCTAAGAAATCCTGTTAACGACACTGTGATAAACGTCTCCTAGAAAACATCTCCTGAATCAAAATCCCCAATTAATAATAGAATAGCTGGATAATGTTATCATCTTGCTGTATAACAGGGATAAAATGTACAAATCTGCTCACTATTGACTAGGAGTGCAAAACAAATCTTTTATTTAATTTCTCCAGGAAAATGTTATATACATTGTTCCTGGTGATAAATTAGTGTAAAATTAAGTTGTTAAATATAGAATGCATTAAATGCAGAATATATATGTGTGTATGTATATATATATATTTATGTAATTATATACATATACCCACGCACACCCGTCTAAATTGTACCCCCCCCCCAAAAAAATAAATAAAACCTAAATCACTATGCTGATTTAAAAGCTGATTGATTTAATAACCACATAAGAGTAATTTTAAAGAGGATTCTAAACTGCAAAAACAAGTCCTTAAAGACATTAAATACATATTGTAATAAAAATAACGTGGATTTGCATCACCGTTTCAATGTAAACATTTTTACAGTGTGTGGATTAAATCTGCATCTTGATTAATTAAAAAAAACATACACCCATTACATTAAAGATGTCACCATTAATATTGTAACCCTGTTCCAGTCCAACTATACATGGAATTATTGGATTGCATTTAATAAACCCATTTTTATTTTTATTTTTAAATATTGCACACCTTAGTATTGATAAATGTCTTCACAAAGTATAACGCACAAATACCTTTGGCAATTGGGGGGGGATACTATAGTACTCATCTACCTACCAACGCTTCAATCTCCTGTCCTGTTATCACAATTCAGAAGTTTTTGAATCATTTAACAACAGTCGCTACTGGTCAAACACTTCTGCAGTGCCCAATATAAATATTAGCGTATACATCATAAGACGTGTACTAGTTTTGAATGTAATTAACCAGGTTGTGGCCAGATCTCCTAGCATGTACTTTTTCAAATTGGCATTGAGGGGGTTAGCTTGTTAACGTTTGTATTCTTTTAAATATAAAGGTTGATAAAAAAAAAGCTATACCAGGAGCCCAAATGAATAACATTTAAGATGTCTCCATGAAATCATTATGACTGAGAACAAAATAATACTGTCTACAAGAATAATTGGCAGTGTTTTTAGAAATATGTAGAGCGCCGGGTTAAGGATGTGACTGCACGGCTTGCACTGGCTATGAACATGTCATTTAGAGAATACACACTTTCCAGAATTAGGAGGATTACCACTTATTAACACACATGTACTATAGCAGGTTTTAAGAGTTAACTTTTATCAAATATCCTGCTCGCTTGCAGTACTAAATATCCTACTCTCTCAAATCGTTAATTGGGGGTCACTAATTATTTTTAAAATTTTAGCTAGTTTTTGGGTTCATTTTTATTAAAGCTGCTACCCATTGCACCCCAAATGATGGCTTCAGTATGTCCTCTAAATGTGCATTATAGGGAAATCGGGGATTTACATTAGAAGTAGTTTAATAAGTTAACTTTTGTTACTATTGACAGTCCCCTGACCCCCACTAAGGGTATTCCATGAGGATTTCTGTTGGAATTAGTGTAAATTACAGGGTGAATTGTTAGAAGTCTAATCACAGTGTACTAATTAAAGGATACATGGTTTAAGCATACATAGGCGATTATAGGGTAACATTTGTTAAAGCTATGTCCCCTTTAGCCCAGGTTTATCAGCAACCAATCACTCTAACCCCAATTTGTGATTTGAGACCAATTATATGATATGTGTTTAGCTTTTAATTAAGGTAGATTTTGAATTCTATTGATAACTTTCTGTACCCCTGAAACTTAACTTTCTGACACCCACTTGGGGGGTTTGTATTAAAGGATGCATTTTCTGCTGTTAGTTGGGTGTTTTATGTCAATAGTGTCTCTTGTAATCCCTATACCTGTACTAATTAGGGATGTCTCACTAATTAAAGAGTTTCCTTCCAACTGTCTGTATTAAAATCTAATTTGTACATTGCCATGGTTTAAGTTGGAGCTATATAACTAATAATAATTGTGCGGGTCCTATTCCCCTCTGACCCGCACACCAGACCCATTTAAGCAATGCTCAGTATTTAAACAATGTCTGTTTAGCTTGGTTAACATTGCCATTTGTACAACTCTACAGAAGATGTTGGAGCTATATAAATCATAAGAATTTAAACTCTGCACCAAAGCCCTACTCCCCCTATTCCCGGTTTCTGAAAGCATTTAGATACTTTCACAAATTTATCAGTCTACTGGGGTTTTATTTTAATGATATAATTGTACAACCATGTGGAATATACAGGAATTCAAATAAATACATTTTAAAAACTTCTACCTTGTACTCTTTCCCCACCATTCTCACCAATGAAAGGAAGCCTCTTTAGTTGTCATTTAGGGATTTTCTTGTAATAATAATTACATTATTATTCACAGCGCTATGGAATATGTTGGAGCTATATAACTAAAAAAATATTTCTTGCATTCCAATCATACCCCTTCCAACACCCTTGCTCACTGTGACAATGAGTGCATGTTTATTAATTAAGCATGTAGTGGTTTCATGTTAATAATATAATGTGTACAACTCTGCAGAGTATGTTGGAGCTCTATATAACAATTCTAACCCTGCATCCCAGACCTATTCCCCTTGTTCCTCTCTCACTGGATCCAGTGGGGTATTCTTGGTAATTAAACAAGACCTTTTTAGCAGTCTATTAGAGACAGATTGATATAATTTGTACACATCTCTCTAAATAATAATGAAAATTCGACAAAGTACTCTCTCACCACCCAACCCCACTACAGGAAACCATTGTGGAACTCTCAATAATTAAACATGCATTCCTAGTTGTCCTTTGAGGTTTTTAGTAAAATAGTTTAACGTGTACAGCGCTGCAGATTACGTTGGAGCTCTATGACAAATAATAACAATAATTCTTCTTTGTACGGCAGTACTATTCCCCAGTAACCTTGCTCCTTGATACCACTGGGGTATTCTCACTGAATAAGCAATGTCTTCTAGCTGTCTATTTGAGGTTTTATGAAACTATAATATAATAATACATGTGCAGCGCTGCGGAATATGTTGGAGCTCTATAAATTACCAGGGTTATTGGCTAAAGTGAGAATTGTCTAGAATTAAAAGTGAATTTCAAATTTAAGGTCAAAGTAGCTGAGATGGAAGCATCGCTGACTGGGAGAATTGTTTGGTTTCTATTACTTTGGCCATAAATTTGAACTTCACTTTGAGTTCAAAACAATTCTCACTTTGGTGAATAGCCCTGTGTAATAAGAATTCTGCCTTCTAATAACCTAGCACTCTGTACGTATCATGGAGTTCTCATTCATTGATGGTACATTGTTTTTGCGGGGGTCGTTTTTGTCACAGCTGTTACCCACATCCCCCCCCCCCATGCACCCCAGTTAGATTCTCCACCCAACCACCCAACAGTCACCCCTCTCACTCACCTTGAAAGCCACAGGCAAGGTCTTGTTGCACCGCCAGTGGGAGGGCAGCACTGAGCACAGGAAGTTGGGGCTGTCTGTGCGCACAAGCTCCGCGGGGTGATCTGCGATGATCTCCACCATGGTGCGGTTGTCCTGCGGGCGCAGCCTGGGTACAGCTGCCTCCTGCTGCTGGGGCTGGGGCTGCTGCGGGGCTGTCACCGGGGACACGTCGCTCATCTTGCCAGGCTGCAGGCTGCTGGAGGGCGGGCTGAACCTCCGGCTGGTGCTGGGATCTACGGGAATACGCATCACAACAGCCAAGGGTTATTGGCAAGGCGGGGGCAGCGAGATGGGTGCAAGCAGAGAGGGCAAATAGAGGGACTCAGGGCACCCAAGGGTGTCAGCTGCAATCAGAAGGGGCTTCAATAACAATGAGAAAATAAAACAGTAACAGGGTGCCAGCCCAGGCTACTTCAGACCCTGGAGATGAGGGGCTGGTGGTGAGGTCAACTTAGGGGGTGCAAGACTGGGAGCCCTTCTTTTATGTGGGTTCATGGGCTGGTGAGGATCAGTGTCCAAATGCTGCTGGAAGTCTTAGGAGCCACAAATGGGTTTTTGGGGATTCACAGCTGGGGGGCATGGAGTTATCCTCTGTGGTATCTTCTAAGTTGGCTTGTAGAGGTTGTCGCCAGCTGATCCTATTGTCCCTCCTTGGTGGCACTGCCTGCTGGGTGGCTGGGGTCTCTCTCCTTGTTATGAAACAATGTATCAAGTCCCAGTGTTCTCTTGGTCAGAGAAGGTTACAGACACTCTGTGTTGCTGGGTTACAGAGAGGGAGTCCAGGAGGACCAAGGCTGAGATTTTAAGAGCAGAGTAGTCACTGATTGTCTGGATGGAGAGAGCACCAGCTGAAGAAGGGTCACTGGGTAATCTAAAGTCCACACACTACGTAGTATGATCACAGAGTTTTGGCAGTGTTACATGTATTTGGACTAACTGACCGGATTGTGCTAGTCGAAACGTTGCATTTACTTAGTAAACTGTAAGGCTTTACTGGTGGGCTTGCTATAAAGTGACAATACACACACTATAGGTAGGGCACAGTCACTGTGATGGGAGGCATGGGGTGAGGAGTAAGTAGCCAACTTATTGTTTCTTTATAATAGAAATGATTCAGTTTGATCTGTCAGGATGCTATGGGTTAAATCTATGGGTAGAATGCAGCCTGTCTCAGGGGTTAATTTTTGGGTAGAATGCAGCCTGTCTCAAGGGTTAATTTTTGGGTAGAATGCAGCCTGTCTCAAGGGTTAATTTTTGGTTAGAATACAGCCTGTCTCAAGGGTTAATTTTTGGGTAGAATGCATCCTGTCTCAGGAGTTAATTTTTGGGTAGAATACAGTCTGTTTCAGGAGTTAATTTTTGGGTAGAATGCAGCCTGTCTCAGGGGTTACAATGTATAGGTCTGGATAAAGTATGTAGCTCAGGATAAAATCTGCCTCATGAATGGTGAAGTCTCTAAAGCAGGATGAAGTCTCTGACTCAGGGTGAAGTTTCTAAAGCAGTATGCAGTCTCTGGGTGAAGTCTCTAGGTCGGACTGCAGTCTCAATGATAAGTTAAGTCTGTTGATCTGTAGGTACACTCTAGTTTTTGGATAAAGTGTATCTAATTCTGGGTGTTGTCTCTGTCACTCTGTATCTAAGATGAAGAAGCCTCAGCCTGTCCCTGTGTTAGCCAAGTGAGAATGTCTAACTGTCTCATTGTGAGGTGCTGTAAGTAAGGGAAGCATGCAGTCAGTAACATTGAAAGTGCTCTCTCTAGGTCACTGTACTCATCTATGGCTGGAGATCTCTCTGGACCCAGGTTCAGGCTGGAGCTCAGGAATCCGCACTCTCGCTGGCTGGTTCCAGAACAGCAGCTGATCCAGAGCTGCCAACCTAGGGGAGATCGGCAGGAGCTGAGCCGACCAGAAGGTCCACTGTGTCCTGACGCGCTGGAGACCTCAGCTCACAACCATGTCCAGCCAGTGCCATGTACAAAGTCCACAATAAGCCCCCAGACCTCCTCTCAGCTCCAGATCAGCTTGTGACATTAGAAACACAATACACAGTTTTTGTTTCTCTCTCTCTCTCTCTGTGTTTCCAGAAGAAATTGCAGGATCTCCTGGTTCAAGGCTTAGTAGAACAAAAATAATAAAAAAGAACAGTGCGGTTGGGAGATGAGAAAAAGCCACAGTTTGTCCTGAAAATGTGTGTGTGTCCCTTTTTTTTCAGGAGGCTGGAATCGTCATGATTATGGCTTTTGTGGTTTATATAGTGAGTCCTCTTCTAAAGCCAGGGTTTGAGAAACACCAGCACGTGGTTTGTCGTGAAACAGAAGCTCCTCTCATTTGCATGCCCCAGTCTTCAGCCAGGAGCCCTCCATCCAAACAGCAGGGTTTGTCCTCTAATTGGACAGACCTCACCACCATCTCCACATGTCCCAGGTCCTCAGTGCAGTCCTTCCCCTCTCCAAACCTCTGCCCCACACATAGAATGACAAGGAGCCCCAGTGACCAGGCTTTGCTGCTTTGTATCTGCTGCAGTGATACAATTCTATTATTATTATTTTTTATATAGATATTAAATCCAGCCCCCCCTGTGTGTAGAAAGGTAAGAGCCTGCTTGTTTTGTGTCTATCTTCATAGAAAAAGGGCAGTTCTTATTAAAATATTTCCCAGACCCAATGGTGAGAATGTAAAGCGCCTCCCTTGGAGATATTGACCTATGGGAGGACTTGCAGTGAAATTTGGGCTTGCTCTAATTTGGCATGTCCTGTCCCCACCTTCCTGGCTGGGGAGCAGTGTGTCTGGAGTGGCAGTGGTGGGGTTACTGCTGGAGAAGGGGGGTGATCTATAGTTATAAAGCTGCTTTAGAAAATAAAATGTAAAAAAATATTTATATTTTTAGGGGACAGCACTACGAGAAGGTTTGGGGGCTTTAAATCGTAAACTGTGTCCTTCCTATGGGATTAGTCACTGGGAGCTGTGTGTGTGTGATCATTTAATGCCCCCATTAACTATTTATATGCTAGAATCATGTGCCGGCTGCGTTGTATTATCAGAATACCCCTGGCACTGAATGGGTTAACGTGTACCAGTTTATTTAACCCCCTGGGTGCCAGAGGAGATCGCTCACTGTTAGCGCCTGTGGTGCTGATGGCGTTAAATTACAGCACTGTTTGCTGCATGGCTGTATTCCTTGGTACCGATGGGGTTAACTGATAACAGTACGAAATGTAACCTTTTGAGTGCCAAGTGTTCTTCCCTGCTACATTACTAACTCTCTGGCACCAATAGCGTTAAATCCTTCCGCTCTGATTGCGCTTTAACCCTTTGAATTCTGGGGTACTGTCATTTTTTGTTGTTGAACTAATGGGGCTGAGGAGTTTAACCCCTTGAGTGACACGTGTGTTTGTATGGTTCATTATTAACTAGGGTGATGCTGATAGGGTTAAACTACAGATGTAACCTTTGCACTGCCAGACTGCTACATTACTTTTGTGGGACTGAAGGGGTTAACTGTTAGGGTGACTTTTCACAGTTGTGTTATGTGTCACCGATGGGGTTAACCGACAGCATTGCCGAGATTTAACCTCTTAAGTGCTGTATATACTCCTGTAGTCTATTGCGAACCCTTGTGTAATTTTAACCTTTTGAATGCCAAATACATTACATTATTATGTTGCAGGCGTGGGGTGAGCTGACAGCGCACATTTGTGTTTGTGCTACATTACTATCTCTTACTGCGCTCATGGGGTTAAATTCAGTGGCCCTGGTGGAGTTTAACCCTTGTGAATGCAGTGATGCTGATGTAGATTACTTGCAGTTTCTCACAGTGATGGGGCTTAATGACAGTTCTATGCATTGGAATTTTTCTAATACACTGAGGTTTTATTAACCCTTTCAAATCCAGATGTGTTTGTATTGTGCATCACTTAACTCAATCACATTCTTTATTCTCAATTTTGTTAGAAGTACTTAGCAACAGGCAGTGCCATGCAAAAATAGGAATTCTAGTCCAAAGTTCTAAAAGTTGGGCATTTAGCAGGCGCAGCCCATTGGTTTCCATGGTGATTACACCACTTTTAAAACTATCCCCAGAATTACTATTTATAGTATAAATTTTATACTATTCTATTTTTTAATATATTTTTTCTCTACCACCTCTAATGGGAGACCATTCCCTTGACCTACAACTCCCTTTTTTCGAATATTGTACATTATATTCCTGTCTCTAAAATTGCTATTTTAGGCATTTTGACATCTAGGAATCTTCTGAATTATTTATATAGGCAACCGATATACAATGTTGCTGTATTTTTAATATTTCTTTTTTTTTTTTTTTTTTTTACAAAGTTTTAGATTATTTCTAAAGCTGTGTTTCTTCATTTAAGCATGGGTAAACGACCCCACAGTAATCACAGATACATTGTGGGGTAAAAACTATTCATTTATGTATTGCTTGGATTCAGGAATTATGCTAAATGTGTAGTTTTGTGTGAATGTATGGATAAACTCACTGCTCTTGTTTCTTTAACCCTTTCTTTTCCAGAGAATTCTGCAGTACATTTATGTTAAGAATGCAGTTAGACTTCCTATTTAAGTATTAGAGAATTCAAACACTGCATGTTTTGTTAATAATTTAACAGTAGACTATATGAAAATTAAACAACACCTCTCATAACAATAATCAATAAGCAGCCATTACAGAGTGTTGAACAAAAATAATACAGTACAGAATTGCTTTAATTGTGGTTTAGTATGTTTAAAGGTTGTGCGTTACAGTAAAAAAGGGTTTATTAATGAAACACCAAATTGTAGTGAATTTAAAAACAAATTGCAAAATTTGGGCAAAAATTGCCAATTTTATCACTTTATTTTTGGATTATTACAGCATACATGATTATTTACTAAACACTGATTTTTAGCAAATCAATTTAGAATGGCAAAACGGAGACCAAAACAGCAGATTTGGAACTAAGCTATAGCCATTTGTCGTTTGATGTTAATTCACTGAAATTCGCTGTTTGGTGGATAACCTTTGGTTGTTTACTGCAGGAGAGAATTGCAGAGAAATTAGAGATGTGAGGTTTTGTTCGCTAAATAGCTAACTGAAAATAAAATTGCAAAGTTTTTTTTCTTAAACCAGCTGATTTGGGAAAAAAATCCCAACACAGCTATAGTGACAGTTTGGCTAGTTTTGCCTGTGAAGTGTCACTACAATTTGCTTTTATCTTTGAATATTTTGCAGATGTTACAATTATTATTTATTTACTTATGTTTATTTACAGTTTTGTATTCCTAACACTATAGTGTTTCTTTAACTCTTTGTGTGACAGATGGGTAACATTTTCATTTCCCTATTCATGGACCTTGTATCAGCAACTCATAACAATTTAGATGCTTAAAACTACAACTCCTAACATAGGCAGTCAGCAGAAGGCCCTGTTTTGCACTCAAAGTCAGTTATCTCATATTATGGCCTCTATCTGAGACACTCCATTGTTCAAAAATTCCTAATCAAATTGCAATAAACTGAAAGATAAGTTGCAAAATGTATGCTTTTCCAAATCAGCTGTTCTTGCCAAAATTCTGCCATTCTGCCATTTTTTTAATAAATAAAGTGATGTGCATCTAATCCTAATAAAATAAATAAATAAATAAATAAATAAACGTAAAATATTAATTTAGCTTCACAAATGTAGAACTGTATCCTGAAGGAATGTGAAGCATCAATATTTACAATGTACTGGTAACCATTCAGGCACTCAAAGGGTTAACATTCCATTGGAAAGTATATTAAAGGGACACTCCTGGGACCCAGACCACTTATGCCCATTGGAGTGGTCTGGGTGCCAACTCCCACCACCCTTAACCCTGCAAGTCTAATTATTGCAGTTTTTTATAAACACAAAAAGTGTTTTAAATGACGCTAGACGTCCTCACTCTATGCATGAGGACCTTCAGCATGGAATAATGCTTTCCTATGGGGAGGTCTAATGTGCGCACGACCGTTGCCGCGCATGCGCATTAGGTCTCCCCGCCAGCTGACGTAGGCGGAGCCTGACCCAGCGCCATTGGCGCTGGATTCAGGTAAGTCATGGAAGGGGTTTTAACCCCTTCAGCAACATGGGATGGGGGTGGGACGGAGAGGGGCACTGCAGAATTTGTGTTCCTGGCACTGGAGAGTCTCTTTAAGATTTAGTACACCTCCTCCATACTCTTTAAGGATAAGGTGCTACCTCTGATGGGAAGGCTCACTAAGGATGCTGTCCTTCCCGAAACAGAATTTTGGCAAAAAAAGAGCTGATATGGAATAATTCTCCAATCCAACCGTTTGCTGTTTTAGTCTACATGTTGCCATATAAATTCAATTCACTAAAATTCAGTGTTTAGTAACTAGATCTGTTAGTTAAAGCATAGTAGGTGAGTTGGATAGAAATTCAAATTTGTATTTATTTATTTTTTGTCAGTCTGGAAATTGTTGGCCTAAATGTTTAAATTCGACTACTAATTCACTCATTGCTTATTGAATCTACCCGAAAGGATCACTTTTCCCCCCCCAAACTTTTCTTCTGTAATAAAATAGCAATCTGTTATTTCTCCCTCTTGTGAAATTGATTAAAAAGCAAGTGGTCGGCAAATAGTTTCATGCAAGCCGCTTTCCTGCTGGTCTGATCTCCATCTGCTGTTAGTATGAAGTGAAAGAAAATTAACTTTTCCGTCACAGGGGAGAGCTCTCGCCTAACTAAGGCCCAGCTAAGAAGCCCAAAGCTGGAATAATGAAAAGTATTGTACAAGCCTTCTGTCTGCACATAAAATGTAATAAAATCTGTCGATCGGGTGACTTTGTTAAAGGGGCACGGAGGATTCACTTAACGGTTTAACAACTGAATGGTAGAACTCAGACCAGAATAGTCAAATTGGAAAAATCTCTAACTCGCTAATTATTTTAGGTTGACTATTTTTCCCTAAAAATTGCAATTCCCTTTTCATTTACCTATAGCTCCCAGTTTAGTGAATGATTGTGTATTGCAGTCTTTAACCCCTTAAGGAATGAACTTCTAGAATAAAAGGGAATCATGGCATGTCACACATGTCATGTGTCCTTAAGGGGTTAAAGGCTTCCTATAAGAATCCATTTGTTTTTTCATTTATAAAATATTTTAACGGGAAATATACACTGAGTCTTCTTTTTTTTTTCAAGTATGTCCTGGGCGAAATTTAGTAACTCTGGGGTTTATTAACTAAACAACAAATTGTAATGAATTGAAAACCAAATTGTAAAATTAAGGCAAAAATAGCTGATATGGAAAAATATTCCTACTCAGCTACAGTCATAGCTTGACTACTTTAGCCTAAATGGGTAATTAAGTTTTAACTAATTACCGTTCAGGGTTTAGTGAATAAGGTGATGTAAGCATCCTCTGTGCAGAGCAGCGTTCAAATAACAAACTATAATTCATTAACTCTGTTGTCATGTGAAATGTAGTAATTTATTGTCATAAATGCTTTAGTGGAGGAATTTAAGAGAATGATGGGTAATTAATCCACATGACATTCAATAGTGTTTTGTTGTTTTTCCAATAAGTCAATTATTGGTGCAATTGGTATTTGGGTGATCGGGAGAATAGTTTAAAAAACATTTGTGTAAAACAACAAAAACATGTTAATTAAAGAATCTGCAATAGAAAGTAAGGATAGTGGTAAGTACTCCTCAATGGTGACACAGCGGGGTCGCTAATTGTGTCTATGTGTATGTGAGTCAAGGAAAATAATCTCAAGACTTGATGAAGACCTGGGTACAGGTCAAAACGTTGTGCCTGAGATATTTTTCCTTGATACATGTTCTATGGGGTATGCTGACCCATACTCAGTTGGCACGGTGTGATTTTTATGATTGAATGCAACCCTCTTTTCTCTTATGTATATGTGAGTGACTTGTACGTGTGTGTTTGTGTCTGTGTTCTTTCCACTGTCACAGAACTTTTTCTAAGAGGCTTTTGTGGAACAAAATTCTAATATATGTAATATAAAAAAAAATATATATAATATTAAAATATAATATAAAAATGAACAGTGATGTGTGCCCTCGAAAAATATTGCCTAGTATGAGTTTAAAGGGTTACTCCAAACACCATGATCTTCTGTGATTTGAAGTGGTCATGGTGTTTGGAGTCTGTGCAGTGTGTCAATATGATATGCTGCACCTTTTGCTGCTGGACGCATAGCTCCGCCTCAGGTAGCATTATTTTGGGACCATTAGCCAGCCCAGAACAAGAGGTGAAGGTTGGCTAATGTTATATTATGTACAGATTTCTATGCTTGGCTGAGAGTCGTCAGCTGATGCATTCAGCCAAGATAGGCCGGCTAGATGGGCATTCAGCTCCTTCAGGGCTACAGAAGTCAGATGTTCAGCCAGAAGGAGAGGAGCCCCAGCGCCCAGGCAGGACCAACATAGAGGGTAAACCATTGCCAAGGTAGTCCTACCATCATAACAGTGAGCGTACTAATGTCTACCTCCATATATAGGCACATTAGAAAATATTTTTTTTCCTTTTTAGGAAATAAAATCCATGTTTTGAAATGTATTTTTGTGTGTGTTTTGTTATTACATGCTGTTGGAATTTTTTACAAATATTTGCAGTAGTTTATTCCAACAGATGTGAAAGTGGTGTATGGTAAAAAGGGATATATGTGTGCTTTCTCTTGTATGTAAAAGACACCACAAAATACTTCCGTATTTTATATATTGTTTAAAACAAATGCTCCCACCCATAATGTTTTTGAATGCTTATTTTCTTGTGCGATAATCTTAAAGCAGATCAATGTCACATGTAGGAAGCATCAATTGAATGACACATTCCCTACGCATTTTACAATCTTCGTAAAGAGAATAGCAAGCCCTGTTTTATTTAACGGCTTACAATGATTATGAGCTTCAAGGATAAATACTTCTGAACCCCGAACGAACCACATGAAAAAAAAAAAATAGAAGGTGAGAGTTGTACAGTGGACAGCAAACCACATGTGGTCCCTCACCTTATTCATTATTGATGGTGGTTAGGGCCATTTCTGGACCAACTTACTCCATCGCCATGCTCGTGATATAGAGATTAAATCCCTTACCCAAATGCCTAATATTAACGTCTAATCCATTTCCTAAACCGAATTCCCTAATCAATAACAAATCCTAACATCTAATCCCAATGCCTAACATTGCCCTCTAGCTCAGACCTTCCCCTCTCATTCCATTCTTAACCCAAATTCCAGAACTGAACTGCTAACTGTATCCTTAACCAAAATGTCAAGTCCTAAACTTTAATCCCAGAGCCCGTAACCGCTAACCCAAATGCGGAACCTTAAATTCTAATGAAACCCCAACCCCAATGCTGATGAGCTGCTAAATGTGCCCAATACTAATATTTAATCCCAATTCCTAATTCTAACTTCAAAATGCCAAACCATAACCTCTTATTCAACCACCAAACCCTATGCCTAAAAATACCTCTAATCTAATCCATGCCTCCCAAGTGTTCCTATTTTGGGCCCCCAAACCATCTGTCCCTCTTATCTATCCTTTCTAGGCGCTCCATGTTGTTGGTATATCTTTGTATTTAAACGAGCTTAACAGCAATAATATTCCCAGTAATGTGTCTTTACACTACAATGAATGTGTTTAGAAGTCTGTGTAATGTATTCACAGTCTGTGTAAATAGGATACATGGTTCTTGTTTTAATTTACATTCTGGTGCATAGATTGCAGTCTCCCAACCGTCCCGATTATGGTGAAAAAGTCCCAGTAGAAGTGGACACTTAAATTAACCTAGTTACACACCCTGGCTATCAGTTTGATAACCAGTCCTATTACTTCCTGGTTTGTTTAGCTCAGTGAAGCTAAACTAAAGACAGCAGTGGCCCAGAGCACCTGTCTTGCAAACACTTCTCATTGAGCTGCACTGGGAAGCCTATGATTGGACAGTCACAGAAAGTCAGGGCAGGGATAGAAGGGGAGGGCTTGTAAGGGCCAAAGACAAGAGATTAGCAGCTTTTGCAAACTGTTTTAAGATATGCCCATAATGAAAAATGCTTAATTAAATGCATACATGCTTTTAACTGGAGCATAACAAACGGTGATTTTTTTTATTATTATTTTTTTATTATTATTATTTTGGCAGTGGAGTGTACCTTTAACTAAGAGATGTAAAGTGATTTGCAAATGTCCCATTAGAATAGCTAAAAAAAACAAGGAGCAGCTAAATCTACAGTCTGGCTTATTTTATTGAAATTCTTTCCTTAATTTTCAGAACATGTTTTTCGATTTAGCACAATTCACTGTTTATCTAATGAATACCTACCTACCTAACTACTCCCATTATTGGCAGCCATAATAAAATGACCACACTGGCCTTTTTACAGCTCCTTTAATCTTAAATAATAATTTAAAATTATGTTTCAACATATTTACATTGCATTATTAAGCTCTTCAATTTGCTGTATTATCAACATATAATCAAACCCTTGAGCTAATGCCGTATCATTATGACAGTAATTAAAATAATTAGCTCTTATTAAAATTGAATAAAGGCTACAACAATTGCAATATGTTTTGTTTGGTTTTCGCCAGTAATTCAAACACTAGTAACAGTGCTACTGTTGTAACAAGCAGTGACACATTATATATGTATCTTATATCCTGGATTCGTTTTGTCTCTGTGCTATTTGCATGTTGCACGGTGAGAATTTGCTTCACATTAATGACGCGGAAGTCATTCCATTTATCATGACAATTCGCATCCTCATCTGGACGTAGAGCATGCAGGTATTCAAAGCAGCATTTCCTATAGGAGGAAGGGGAAAAAAAGCTATTTTTTTAAGGAGCAGATCCCGTGAAGGAGTAGATGGGGTTATATTTGTTTGCAATGTGCATCGATTTGCAAAACACAAAACCAAAACCTATCACGACAAAGAGACGCAACATAACCCCTTAGCTACCAGGCAAAGCTAACTATGTAAAGAATAATATTTTATTCTACAAATCTTAGAAGATGTTACCATTTGATGATGCTAAATTGGCTATTAATGAAGACATGTTAAAGGGCAATTTCTACTATTTTCTATAAACTGCTGGGACAAGGGACAATTCTATATTCCCTTCCATAAAGCACTGGGGTTCTATAAAACCCTAAAATGTCAGCCATAGCTGTATTACTATTACATTATAATATATTAGTGATATGACTACAGAAGGCCAGAGCTTGACTTATGGTGAGCCAGAGACTGAAGGGACGCCAAAGACTAGTCCACGTAAAGTCAGATATTGGCTTATGGAAGACTTAAAATGGTCCACAGGGGGCCAGAGATTGGTTAAAGGAAGGTCAGAGAATGGATAATGAAAGGCCTGAGACTACCTAACGAAAGGCCTGATACTGGCTAATGAAAGGCCAGAGATTGGTTAATGGAAGGCCAGAGAATGGCTAATGAAAGGCCAGAGATTGGTTAATGGAAGGCCAGAGAATGGCTAATGAAAGGCCAGAGATTGGTTAATGGAAGGCCAGAGAACAGCTAATGAAAGGCCTGAGACTACCTAACGAAAGGCCTGAAACTGGCTAATGAAAGGCCAGAGATTGGTTAATGGAAGGCCAGAGATTGGTTAATGGAAGGCCAGAGATTGGCTAATGAAAGGCCAGAGATTGGATAAAGGAAGGGCAGAGAATGGCTAATGAAAGGCCTGAGATTGGTTAAAGGAAGGCCTGAGACTACCTAACAAAAGGCCTGAGAATGGCTACTGAAAGGCCTGAGATTGGTTAATGGAAGGCCAGAGAATGGCTACTGAAAGGCCTGAGACTGCCTAATGGAAGGCCAGAGAATGGCTAATGAAAGGCCAGAGATTGGTTAATGGAAGGCCAGAGAATGGCTAATGAAAGGCCTGAGACTACCTAACGAAAGGCCTGAGACTGGCTAATGAAAGGCCAGAGATTGGTTAATGGAAGGCCAGAGATTGGCTAATGAAAGGCCAGAGATTGGATAAAGGAAGGGCAGAGAATGGCTAATGAAAGGCCAGAGATTGGTTAAAGGAAGGCCAGAGACTGGCTAATGAAAGGCCAGAGATTGGTTAATGGAAGGCCAGAGATTGGCTAATGAAAGGCCAGAGATTGGATAAAGGAAGGGCAGAGAATGGCTAATGAAAGGCCTGAGATTGGTTAAAGGAAGGCCTGAGACTACCTAACAAAAGGCCTGAGAATGGCTACTGAAAGGCCTGAGATTGGTTAATGGAAGGCCAGAGAATGGCTACTGAAAGGCCTGAGACTGCCTAATGAAAGGCCTGAGACTGGCTAATGAAAGGCCAGAGATTGGTTAATGGAAGGCCAGAGATTGGCTAATGAAAGGCCAGAGATTGGTTAATGAAAGGCCAGAGATTGGATAAAGGAAGGGCAGAGAATGGCTAATGAAAGGCCAGAGATTGGTTAAAGGAAGGCCAGAGACTGGCTAATGAAAGGCCAGAGATTGGATAAAGGAAGGGCAGAGAATGGCTAATGAAAGGCCAGAGATTGCTTAATGGAAGGCCAGAGATTGGTTAATGGAAGGCCAGAAATTGGCTAATGAAAGGCCAGAGATTGGTTAAAGGAAGGCCTGAGACTACCTAACAAAAGGCCTGAGAATGGCTACTGAAAGGCCTGAGATTGGTTAATGGAAGGCCAGAGAATGGCTACTGAAAGGCCTGAGACTGCCTAATGAAAGGCCTGAGACTGGTTGATGGAAGGCCAGAGATTGGTTAAAGGAAGGGCAGAGATTGGCTACTAAAAGGCCTGAGACTGGCTAATGAAAGGCCAGAGATTGGTTAATGGAAGGCCAGAGAATGGCTACTGAAAGGCCTGAGACTACCTAATGAAAGGCCTGAGACTGGTTGATTGAAGGCCAGAGATTGGTTAATAAAAGGTCAGAGACTGGTTAATGGAAGGCTAGAGGAACATTGAGATCGTGGGCCAACAGTGCATGCATGAAACCACACATTGCCAGGCCAGGAAAGTCCCTGCCTGCTACCCCATTGCTTGGGATCTCCTTCCATTTGAATCCACATAAGAATGGTGTGAGACTGCATCCAACAACCCTGTATGCAAGTGACCTGGGGCAATTTCCCCCCACCCACCCATTCCGATTGCCAAACGTACACTGCTGTATATATTGGAAAGCACAGCTTATAACAAACATGTTACTCCAATGTCTGAGTATAATAAGAGTTACTGCCATACAAGTAGATGTACCAGTACATGTCACTGGTAGGGTCAGATTATTCCATGGGTCTGACCATTGCTGGTCAATAAGAATGTCTGCATGCCCCTGAGCAATGCATTGTGGGAGCAGTCAGACAACATCTGCTGCACACACGGTCTATTTCATGGCTCCTTCCAGCCTCGTTAATGTCATTTATTGCACTTTGCATTAGACTTTAATTCCCATATGGATGGCTCTAAGTACAAAAATTAAGCACCTGAAAATGATAAAAGGATATCGTAACTGCATCCAAATCATACATTCCTTTATCATGTCTGATCTCCTGGCCAGCACGTTAAATAAATTGGATGCAGGGAAGTCACATTATCTGTAAATTCCATATACATTATCTTTTGTGGATCCAGAGAGCTTAACATAAACAAATAAATACAGAAGTATAAGAGAGGGGATGTCAGGATAGTCATGCGTCACCCCATTTATCTCTGTTCCAAGGCTAGCCAAGAAATAGCCATATCTCCCTACAGTCCTGAATCTGGTGAGGCAGTCACGATTTAAGACTCACGACAGACAGTCCTGGGTCTCCCCAGATGTTAGAAGCTAGAGAAGGGGCCCAAAAAGTGTCATTCAACATGCTCGCAACTGCTAAAGACTGCTAAAAGAGCTCCTGCAATGGTCTTTTGCAATGGACTACATATCGACGATGCACTCCCCTGCCTTCCTGGATTCATACCGGTAGAGTTACAGAGTAACAGATCTTTTCAAAGTCTACACTACTTCATACATTATTATTAGGCAATAAAACTGTGTATTTGGAGGTTTGAAATGTCTCCATTAATTTGCTAGTTCCTACAGTCCTATAAAATGTCCCAGTACAGCCCAGCTGTGACTAGAGCTGAGTTGGAAAATGAGTGATCTTGACCCAATGCTCGTTGAGCCAAGTCCACTACAGTTCCCGGGCTGTCACTGGTAAAATCCTGACTATTCACAGTTTTGAGAATACAGCAGGAGATACAGTACAGTTCTCTTCCACACAACACTTTATTCCTGTGATTCTATAGCGGTAATACTGGAAATGGTAATAGTTAGAATATTCACGCCACGGTAACAAATTAAAATGTTGAAAGAACTGGCAATAGCTGAGCTGAATATAAAAAATCTCAGGGTCATTGTTTTGTTCCAGATCTGTTATGTTAAGCTAAGTTTTATATGTCGATTTTCAAGTCACAACAGCTCAGTGTTTAGTGAATAAGCCCCTTCGTCTGTAGACATATTCCATTCTGGTAAACCATTTTTTCCCCTTACACTTTGTGTGAGGTTCTCGTATCTCTCGTCAGAAGAGATCTGTGATTCAGTTTGTATTAGTGACATAAAACAGAACACCTACTTTGGCTGATGAAAGGCCACTTGTTTGACAGATCTTTCCAATTCCGAGTGAATTGTGTGTTATATTATAGTCACTGTTACATCTTTCTTTTGGTATATAAAACACATTCTTTCTATGAACGTACAGCTGGTCATCTAACTATTTTAA